GGCTTTCAGAAATCAATGTGAGATGCAAACAGGAACAATCGACTGAATACACAGAAGAGGTTAAACGATTGCATGAGAACTGCATCGCATTCAGGTGCATTGAGTTTAATCAGTCAGACTTTGACAAACCTATTATGTTTGTGTCCCTAACAATAGCTCCTATCACAATCTCCTCTCTCTTCCTTTTGTCTGTCTGCCTAGTTGGAAATATTACAGCATATGAGACAGATTGGCACATACAACCGTCTCCATTTTCCCTTCTCTGTCCTCCTCTTTCTCCCTTTCTCTCTCTTGCTCTCTCTGCAGTCTGGTTGCCACATATCACAGACTTTGACAGTACGTGGATGAGGTCCCTCAGAGAGGCATTAGCTCCCTATTGGGAGTTCTTCTGCTAAAGCCCTGGGGGCATTTTTCCTTAACACAACCCAATCAATAACTTTATATCATCCACTGGCAAACAGAGCCACAGCAAAAGGCTGGGACACGCTGAGGCTGAGGCTGAGAGCCTGCAAGGTGGCATGCAGGGTAGAGCCAGCTGTGGTGTTTGCTTTGCTTTGCTTTGCTGAGGCAATTGAAGCAAGCTGAGCATTAGCTATGACATTTCAATAGCAGCAGTGCCGGGAGACACTGGCTCGTGTCCGAGTCATCTCCAGTTCTACTCGCAGTAGAATGCACACTCAGGGATGGTCGAGGGTCACTGCCCATGCTTGACCATTTCATCTTTGCAACATCACAAACAGGCTTTTAGAGATTTTTTGTGTGTGTGTGGCTCAGCTGATGATGCACCGGCATGCAATCTCATAGCAGGGGGCATAGCTCACTCCTGGTAGAAGGCTGTATCTGGGAAAGTAATCCCTTTTCTGGTATGGACTGATTTATTGTCCAGCACAGCTTTCATAATGGGAAAGAAAAATGTAGCTTGGTGGAGCGGAGATGAAGAAAAAGAAGTTTAAACAGCATTACTTAGTTGCTGCTTCGGCACAACAAGACATTAATCAAATTCTGCAAGTATATCATTAATCATGTATTATGACACAGGTGTTATTATTCCAAATTAAAGCTGGATCTGAGGACTTGCCTTTAAATTAATGATGACAGCACCAAGTTGCTGTAACTTGTACAGAGTTGTATGAAAACCTACATTCAATCTGTGCCAATACAGAATAACACAATATTACAAGTTTTTCTGTTTTGTTGTTAGCCCCAGTATTGTATGGATTTCATTGCCCTTCCAACTGTATGGCTACACAATATACGAACAAACAATATGTTTGGTTTATCATCCGGCTGCAATCATCCTCTCTCCCAACCATACAGAAAAACCCTCTGACACCGCATTGTTAGTCCTCTCGGCACGAGCACAAGTGTTTTCTGTCAAGCGTGGCTGCGGAAAGATGCTGACCTGTGGCATACACCAACCCGAAACAAATCATTCACCCGCTTCAACAACACAACCTCTAGGTGAAGCCGAAAAACAACAAGTCAGAGCTGCTCTTCCAGACAACTGCTCACATACCTACACATTTACATTTATTCATTTTAGCTGACGCTTTTATCCAAAGCGACTTACAATTGCTAATTAGGTCAGATGTCGCACGCCTCTGGAGCAACTAGGGGTTAAGTGTCTTGCTCAGGGACACAATGGTGGATGGGTCACCAAAGGTATGTGTCTTATCCATTGCGCCATCACCACCCCGTAGTGACCTGACTCACCTATAGTAACATATTAAAAAACAGTGAAATTCATGCACACATATATAAATATACAAATAAAACACACACACACACATATATAAGTCATATCTGAATGCAGACATGATACAGAACAATAGAAAAAGGACGCTTCTTATAACTCCAGCACTTGGATTAGAATCATCACATTGTTAAGTTTACTTTATTGTCATAATAATCCAGGGATAGTTGTCTGTACATCTATGGGTACAGTGCAAACACGAACTGCTAATAGCAAGATCTGCAAATGTTTCATGCTGCCAATTTGCCTAAATATAAACAAATACAGGCTAAAAATACATGGGTTGTTGTAGCCCACAGCTAACTCATCAACTCCATGGCGAGATTATCCCACCTGTTAAAGGTGGACAATTTGTATCATCAGAATTTTTCAAGCCACAAGGCAAGGTGACATCTTCAGATCTTCAGATTGGTTGTTTTGTTCAACAAACAGTCTAAATGTAATTTACAATAATAAAAGGGAGAAAAAGCAGCAATGCCTCCCATTTGAGAAGCTGGAACCAGTACATGTTGATATTTAATGAATCGATTCCTGCAAATCAACTAACTGATTAATCATTTCGGCATTAGATCTGTCCAACAACTGGAGCACAAACAGTGACGTCACCTGAAGCCTCCTCACAGCAGCAACTGAGGACGTGCCAGAAAATAACAGATGCCACCAAAGCAAATGTTAGAAGTGCAATGCTCAGCTAATGATTGGATCTGCAGGCCGTTTTCCAGGTGACTTATGTTACTGCTCCGCTGCTGGAGACAAGGATGAGTGAAGCTTGTATTGATCTGCTGTTTTGCAACCCAATCGATGCCACCACACACATCTTTGCTGTGTTATCAGGTCAAGCTAAAACACGTGATCTTCAATTCAATTAATATTAAATGATAGCATTACTCTGAGATAAATAACCACCAGAGACCCTGCTGCACGCGTACAGGTTTACTCAATTACAAGATAACTGAACAATCAGTGAAGCCTATAGTTAAGCAATAAGATTGGAATTCACTGCAAAGAGAAACGTGCCCAGGTGAGTTTGCCGTGGCTGAAAAGTTTAAATGTTTCTTTGAATAAGACTGAGTTACTGAATTAATGAGATAAGCCCACACACTGCAGTCTAATTTTGCATATGGTGACAAAATACAATAGACATGCAGCACAGGCACATCAGAAGTCATTGTCTTCCTGAGAAACAAACACACAGCTGCACTCTTTCTATCCTTTACTCCACGTCCCCAGAAACAACTACCAAAACACTCTCTTTCCTTACTCTCCTTGTTTCTTTTCTCCTGTCCTTTTCTTCATCAAAAGCCTCCTAACTCCCCGGCTCCTGAATTTGCTCTAATTTAGGAAGACACAGTCCGAGTTAAAAAAAAAGAAAAGGAAAAAAAAACTTCCTCTTTCCACTCCCTTTCCATAAAACAAATGGGCATAAAAGAGAGAAGAATGGTGTCAATAGTGAATGTTCTCTCAAAATAAGCACATAGACATACTGGCCTATTCAGCAGAAGAATGCAGCACCAGAAAAAACACTATAGGAGGAAGACAGACAAGAGGTGCTCATTTATCTCAGTTACACTTCAATACAGAAAACTGCCGTTAATTACATTCCGTACATCAGCAGGCAGGAGAAAGATGATCCTTAAATATTTCATACTACATTTCACACATCAAAGATTGTGGCCTCAATATAGTTAGTTCTACCAGCTTTTTGTTGCATTTGGATGTGAATGGTGACATGAGCTCCCACAATCTAAATAAGAGCCTGTTGTTAAATGGATTTGACTGAAAAATGAGTGAAAGGCCATGCTGGACTTAATTAATGGCACTGAGGAGTGAGGATATAATGAGGGGCCAAAATCCCATTTAGGTTAGGTACACAAGGGTTGGAGATAAAGCTTTTTAAAAAGACATTATTATTCTAATATGTCCTCATTTTAACCATTATTCCAGCCATTGCATTTTCTAACCACTTTATGTAACAGCAGAAAGCTTGCTGGACTTGAAAAATAGGCCTAATAAACCAATAAGTATGAATGCCAAAAAAAAATTTCAAAGAAGGTGAGGTGGAGACATTAATGAGATTCACTGTCACTGTTAATTCATCTATATGGTAATTTCTATGACGTAAAGCAATAGTACACAATCTGCAGCGTCAGCATTAGCTGAGGTAGCTGTGTGACTTTCAGCTAACGGCAGAAGGCCGTAGCGCTTCATTACTGTCGCTCTGCTGCTGGCTAAGGCAGTGGCTTAAAGTAAGAGGTGTAACTGTGGAAGGGCAGCATTTGTAGTGTGCTCACACATAACAACCACTGCCTCCCATCACCCAAAAAAAAAGAAGAAGAAATTTCGTTTCTCACTCTTGCTCCTCTGCACCGAGGCTCAGTCTCTTAAACGTCATGGCTGATTAATAGTGCATGGGAAGAGGCGAAAAAGGGAATGAGGGAGGCAGAGGAGGAAAAAGGAGAGGCAAAGGGAAGGAGAGAGGAAGAAAGGTGGTAGAAAGAAAAAGACTGAACAACTTAAGAGCTTTTTTTTCAAAAAGCTTAGCACAGAGGAGATGAATGTATGAGAAAAAGATGGAATGTGCTGATTTGATAATGACCTCTCATTGGGCCCTTGTGGCCAATACATTTTGCTCTGTGTAATTTGGTTCTGGTACAGAGAAAGAATTGTGTCTTCTTTTATCTTGTCACACAAAACATACTGTCTCTCTCCCTATGTCATACACACACACCCCCAAACAACAATAGGGCATGACCACAGCTGATGAGCAGCATACACAAACACGTCCAAATGGTCACACACTTCTGCCACACAAATCTTATTCAACAAATCCTTTAATTGCCTGATCAATGCCCGTAGAGCCATGCAAATGAAGCCAATAGTCGATAAGGGCTGGGTCAGGTTGAACATCCACACGCTGACGCATGCTGCTGATCAAAGTGCACACTGTGCTAAAAACCCAGGATTAAACCATTCGTCTGTAGGCATCACCTTGAACCATTATCCTGACCCGCGAGCAAACCTGGCGTGAGATACAAAGCAAAAAAACACCTCCGGAAGTTTTAGACCATCCATCACTGAGCTTTAGGAAAGGCGCACACTTAGGGAAGCTGCAGACGCGCGCACACACACACACACACACACACACACACACACACACAGGTGTTTCAGCTTTTCCTTCAAGGACAACTCGACAAAACTAAGAACAACTAGAGTTATAGAGAGGCCCAATGCATCAACATTGTCTTACCTTGTGTTTCGCCAGCCAAAGTCTCATCCCAGCGTCTCAGAAGTAGCATGATGGTGCGGCCTGGGACTCCTCTCTCCCTCTCATAGCCTCAGACTGAGGGACGCTGAACTACGATAAACACAAGAGAAAAGACAATGTGATCATTGATTGTTAGCAGCTACTCTATTTTAAAATACAGTTTAATCTCAGGTCTGTCCGACGCAATCAACAATGCAATTCAGATAATAGTATCAGTTGAATTTATGAAAAGGCTCTCAACACAACGAAACCAGTAAAATGCTCCCTGCAACCCTTTTTCTACTGTCCACATACATGAATACATACATTTGAAACTCTGAATAAAATTTCAGGGGCATTTCTTTTTTCTGTGAGGACACAGAACTAATCACCTGAAATTAAACCACCTGTCAACACCATTAGCCAATTAATAGAAAGATGAGTTTAATTAACTTAGAAAAGGAGACTGGAATGGTCAAGGGAAGTTTTCACTTTTGGGCTGTCACTCCACCAGCAGGTTCATTTGCTCTCACCAGCTGCACTTTATACAATAAATGTGTTTTAGTCGTCGTGATTAATTGAATTACACCTCTCTACCAGGACACCTCATTAGGTGTGTGGGGTTTGTTGAAGCAAATACAGATGTTCGTGAATGAAGAGGTGAGATTAAAAATGAGGTTGACGCTGCTGAGCATTTATCTCATATCTCTTTTCCATCATCGTAATCCTTTCAGTGTTGATTGCGAACAAGGCGTTGTCACCGGGAACTCACAGCAGTTTTAGGTAAAATCCTCGACAGGTCAAGAGGGTAAATCAGCAATTTTGAGGTAATTGTACTCCACAGGAACGGCTTCACTTCTGTTCTTCCCTTGGTCGTCGCTTGTTTTTCTGACGTCCGCCAGTCTGTTATTGCAGAGGGAACAGGGAGGACAGAGGGTTAGAAGCAGGTCAGTTAGACTCTAATAAAACCATACTGAGCTTTGGCATGGTGCATGACCTCTGACCTGGTCCCATTAGAATTAATAAATTAAGATTAAATGAGGGGAATATAAAATGCACAGCTCTGTGCTTAAAATGGTTTTCTGAATACAGCGTTCTGTCTCTATTATTGTTTACAATCCAAATCCACTGTGAAGGCCATTTCTGTTCTATAAAAACAATGCATCTCTCTCCTTAATTTGTTTAAATGCATGTTACAACTCCCTTTAGTAAACCATGTCTGGGTGTGTGTATTTGTGTGTTGGTGCAGTTTTGCAGGGGATAAAACAGTCTGATTTGAGGAGAGTCCAACCCAGTGTGCTAAATAATATATTTCCTCCAAATGTACTGTAGTACTAAATTGTCTCTGCCTTCATCCTCAAGCCCCCCCCCCCAACTACAGTATGTACAAGATCAGGAGAATAATAAATAGCTTCTATTAATCCAGATTATACATAGCTCGTATATCATGAACACACACACCCCACATGAGTGTCTAAATTGAAGGGGAGAGTGAGGGCCATACTTTAGGTAAATTAATGATTAATTGAAATATGTTGATGAATAATAAACCAGTCTCTGCGGGGTAACAGATTGCACTTTTCATATTTAATAGATTGATGGGCTTCACATAAACACACCCAACATGTACACACTCACAGCAACATATAATCACAGACAAACACACTCGTCACATGTACATGCGCCTCTTCACAGTCGACACGTGAAACAGAGGGGTGAACGTACAGTAGATTAAAACATCAAAGAGGGCCTACGCTGCTCACTTGAAACACCCAGGCTGCTTTAGCTTGTTTCTTAGCTTATAATAATCCCACAAAGGGGCCTCAATGTTGCTTTTCTACACACCCTGTGTACTCCCATCACTCCTCATGGACAGTGTCTGTGTCCATACAAGTCCTCTTAATCAGCTCAGATGAATTATTGAATAGCCTTTTTATATCAAATCATGACCCATATTCCGCTCGCTTGAAGTGAATATGCTGCCAATAAAAATCAAGATGTATTTTTTAAGTCGTCCCACATAGGCTCCCTGCTCACTCTCTAATGGTTGAACAGGATTCAGGCACACACACTGCAGAAAGTTAGGGCCTTTAGATGGAGCTCAGCAAGACAGATTCGCTCATTTACAGAGATGATGGACGAGTTTGCCACGCAGCATAGCACACATGTGAATCTGAGGTGTTGAGCTTTAACTTGCACCACACTTTGGATTACATGAGCTGAAATCATCTTTACATGTTTAAGGTTTGACTTCTGATGATGCACGCTGAAACTTGCAGCATTGCGTTAGAAGGCAAAAATCCCTAGACAGCACAGAGCGAATGTTATTTGAAGATAAAATATTTAATAGGGTGTTATTGCTGGTTTCATTAAGGCAGATGCAATGCTCAGAGCCAGACACAGGAGTTGTATTGTCGTCTCATTAGGTAGCACATGGGGAGAAAGAGAGGCAGAGAGAGAATCAGTAGGAAGAGGGGATAGGATTATGAATCTCCTTAGCCCCTGCTGTCTCCTCTCCTGGCTTGTTTATCAATGACGACTGCAAACACGATGCCTATGAAATCTCTTAAGCTCCATTTTTTTGGCAGACTTCTTTTTTCCCCGTAAGCTTCTGGCATCAAGGAGTTTTCAGACACTAAAAATTGACAGGAGCCTTGAAATATGTGTTAGTGCCCCGGTCACCTAACACAACTGATTTATTGTTCAATAAAATTTGGTGGCAATAGTTACACAAACATTATTCATTTAGAATGAGGGTGCGCTTTAATTCTTAGAATTACACTAAGGAACAAACCGTGTAAAACATTAACTACAATGTCACCTTTGGCTTGAACATAAATTAAGCAATGCAGAAAATGTGATGCCGCTTTCAAAGGTGGCTCTGTAAATTCATTTGGAAAAGGCTGAAAAAGATATACTTGTCTTTCATGATCCTGAATGCAATTGTGTCCCGCCAACAAATCACATTTATATTCGCATGGAAGTAACGCTCAGCTGTATCCATCGTCCAAACTGTTAATTTGGACAGCGATTGCTCACTCTACCACTAAGCTACGCTCTAAAGGATCGCTTAAAACGTTATCAGCATCCTCTGCAAAACACTTCTCAAATCAGCTGTATCAACTACAGTTTTCAAGCTGTAAGTGGGATATAATGTTCACATCCCCGTCCATTTTGCTTCTGCCTTCCTCTGCCGCACTGTCAAAACAATAATATTACAGCGAGAAGCATGTTTCACCTGTTCGTAAAAACTGACATGTACAGTTTTGGTGATGATTACAGTAAAAAAGACAGCAGTGAGCCACGTGTCAGAGACGTCCATTTTGCAGCGTGGCAGCTTTGACAGCTTTGACAGACTGTCTGAGCTTAAGTGCCCATCTGTAGATAGGCTACAGGGGTCGCATGTGTGCCAAGAGCGCCAAGCAGAAAGGGTAATGGTCCTGGGTTATGAGAGCAGGTCCCAGGTGGGTTTCACAGGTACGTAGCTGTAACCTTGACCACACGCACACTCACATACACACACACACACACACACACACACACACACACACACTGCATAAATCCCAACTACTGTCAGGCAAATGATAGGGAAAGTTAATCAGAGAAGAGGGGTCAATCGCCGCTACACCTGTGATGGATAGATGGACAAAGTGTCTGCATGTGTGTGTGCATGTGTGTGTGTGTGTGTGTGTGTGTGTGAGTGTGAGAGAGAGTGGGTGTGAATGTGCATTTTGCTGCAGACATAGAATGAAGATTTCATTCCAACACACTCGACTAGGAGAGAGGAGATATAATGTCATTCTCCTACTGTGAAGTAATTTGTGTTTTTTTTTAAATAACAGCAGGTAAAAATAATTGCATTGAGAAAAGGGCAATGTAGTCTGTCTCTTCATGTAGATTACTTTATCGATCTACCAATTTTTCTTTTTTCCCTAGCACACGCACACACTCCTGTGCTTTAAATAAGAGTGTGGAGCAGCACTGAATCGATGATTTGATGGGCAGAAGTGGCCACTCCATCAGGTGGAGAGTGGCTAATATGGAGATTAATTTCAACATGAGATATATTTATATATTCATGTGTTTAAATTATTCATATTAAAAGTAAATTTTTACTTGATCAGATGTTAAATATGAGAATACGCATGTGATCCTAGTTCATATTAATACAATTAAAGCCTCATGGGAAAAAAGAGAATCAAAGACTCATGTGTAAAAAATACAAAAGGATAAATGGCGGTGAAATGTAAGGGAAATTACTCATCTCTGATAATCTGCCAATATCCACTTAAATTCTACCTCACCCTCACATAGCACACACACACACACACACACATCATTGACACGTATGCACACACACACATACACATGCAGAAAATGTGGGTTATTGGCAAAAAATAAAGATGAATATCTACATCAATTAATCATCATCCAAAACATGCAACAGCAATAGCATGTGTGGATTCAAAGCACCGTACTCACCTATTTAACCCTTAACACTGAGAAATATTACATTTAATCGATTTTGTAGGCTGGAGAAATTGTAAGAATCATGGCTATTACGTCAACTAATAGACAAAGATGTTGCTTGAGTCTTTAATCCGCGTTAGTGAAATCCCATTAAGATTAAGAAATCAGCCTCAGTCCATTACAAAAAAATGGCAAAAAAGAGAGTCCCGAATATAGGACAGTTTTTACTAATTGTTATTTTGTTCATTTGGAATCAAATCCAGGATTTAAAGGGTAATTCCACAGGAAAACAGCTATATCCAGAGTGCCTTTATCAGGGTGACAGATGCTCAAAAGTCCCACTTCCCATTATCTTCATGTAATGAAGAGGAGAGGCATTAAATCTCCTTCAGGAAAAAAGTGGAAATATAAAAAAAGGAGATGGACAAGGAAATGAGTTGTGTGGTTAGCTTCACTTTGCTATGCATCTGTCTATTGCTGTGTTTCTATTGCTCACCACACACAGGCATACACACCACACACACACACACAGCAAATAATTCATTTACTTTGCAGTCAGCTTAATTCTTTCGAGCCACCCTATCTTCTATTTTTCTAAAAATGCAAAAGATTAATCAAGAATAATCTGCATCTTGTATTTCAATAAACGAAAGTCGAACTGCAAAATTACGTCACCAAAATGCAAAATAAATAGCAACTCCTCTCTGATGCAAGCAAGTCAATGACGTGAGAATGGTAGGACATGAAATTATTTAGATGGCAAAAGAGAAAAAACAAAATGGAACAACATATAAATCAATAAGTGGACCAATTCAGAGGGGGTGAGAGGGTGGAAGTGATGGAAAAAAACAGATGCTGAAAGAGGTGACTAAAGAGAATAAAGCTTCAAGCAAAGAGAGTGAAAAAAGTGAAAAATTATGGTGGAGGAAAAAAAGGGGGAGAAATCCTCTGGATGATAAAGCCAGTTTTTTTCTAGTCCATTCTCTTTGGGTGTTTTTGTGTGTCTGTCTGCGAGAATGAGAGTCAGTTCAGAAAGATAGGCGAGTCGGGGGGGGGCAGAGAAAAAGAAGGAGGCGGAGGAGTGTATAAACACAGATGACACCCTAACAGAACGGACAAGTGCTGGCTTAGAAATACGCTTTGAAACAAAAGTGCACTGTCGACCTTCACCTGATAAGCATGAAGTGAGGAAACTTAAAACGCACCTCGGTGTCATAATAATGTACACTCCCTCTATGGAACGAATGTGGAGTTTGGACATCTCTCAGTGTGCATGACAGCAAACAAAAGGACATGTGAGGAGAGCAGGGTGTGTGGTAAAGGGGCATTTCAGACGCTTTAATGGAAGAACAGACTTTTGTGCAATAACATAGAAATGACAACAGAGGTCGGTCAAAATGTGGTTCCATGATGACGACTGGAGAAGGTGCTTGCTTGATGAATCACTGTGGTCTTGGTTGAGGAGAACAAAAAAAAATCAAAGTCAGAAAACACAGATTATAGTATACAAGGGGAGAGTGACGTGAGGATGACATGGCATGAGGCAAGAATCAGCTGAGAGCCGGATGGGAGGGGTGCCATGGTTATACCAGATTGTAAGCCAGTGTGTGTGCGTGTGTGTGTGAGCGTGTGCGTGTGCATGTCCAGGTGTGCTTAATATATGTGCACCCCACAAAAAACACCTTGCATACACAGAAAAGGAACAAAGACTTTGAGACAGACACTAAACACTAAATAGACCTACCTATGGTTAGAATAAAGAATCGCCCAAAAAAGATGCATAGGATGGTAGGAGGAAAAAAGAGAAGGGGGAAATAGGAAATAGGAAAAGGTACAAAAGTGAAAAAAAGCATAAATAGAAAATACAAGCAAGCCAATTAAAATGTCTCTATCAGGGTTGTTTTTTAAAGTAAGGAAATTAAAACACTGGTGGAGTCAAAAAAGTAGCCAAAGTTAAGGTGGACAGTGAGTGGAGTGGAGGGGAGGAGGAGGAGGGAGCCGGTGAAGGGAGGAGGGAGCGTGGGCTGCACAGGGATAGAAAGGGCTGGAAGTGATAGCAATGGAGAGGGAAGGGAGAATGAATGAAGGGGGAAAAAAGAGAATAAAGGGGGCAAAAAAAATCCCCCTCCTCTTTCTCTTTCTCTTTTTCTCTGTCTCTCTGCCTCTCTCTCCCTCCTTGTCTGGCTCATAAATAGAAGAAATTGTTGACCAGGTAAATGGCGAAATAGATAAGAAGACAGAGGACCGAGAGAGCAAGCAAATGAAAAGGTAAAGCACCTCCCAGCAGCGCGATGAGGAAAAAAAAGAACAAAAAACGAAAGATAAAAGCAAATACTCCAGTGGCCTCCGTTGTCTCCAGTCTATATGTGGAAGGGGGGATTGGCTATTGCCAGTTGTTCCCCTTCCCCGGCTGCCTTCTGCTTTCTTCTGTCTCTCCTTCCAAAAAAGACTTCCCATCCAGATGACAAAAAGCAGGCACGGATGTCCTTTCCTCTCTCTCTCAACTCTGGTCTAATATCTCGTGCCACTCACACAGGTTAGACATTGTTGCAGCGGCAATGCACAGTATCACCAGTACTGCCCAGTGGGAGGAAAAATAGGCATTGGGACTGCTGCTAGTCAAACACTGCCTGCCTCATGAGGAAGGATACTGAGCTGGAATTGCTCTGTCTCCCCTCTCCCGCCCATCCCTGTGAAAAGATGGGAGGAAGGGAGGTGGGCCCACTCGCTGCATTAGTATTCATTGAAAGAGTATGAGAGAGAGAGAGAGAGATGAGGAGGAGGGAGAGAGAGGTGCCTTCCAACAAATGTGGAGGAACCAAACCGGTGTGTGAAACTGATAAGAGACTGGCTCCCCCTAGAGTCAATCATCAACAGACAAGTTCAAATAACTGGAAACACTGGGAATGTAGCCTGTTGAACAATCAAATTGATGACCTGTGACCCGCCTTCAGGGCAACACAGGATGTTTGAACCTCTTAAGACAAATTCACGGCTTTGATTTTGCAGTGTGTCGCTCCAGCTGCATGGCATTGCTTATGAAAGAATTAAATGTTCAATCGGTCAAACGTAAAGAGTTATCATTTACACTAAACACTCTCTGTGGGTAAAAATTGGACTATGGATTAAAGAAAATTTGGCTCACATCTGTGGTGTTGTGTGAAAACTGACTGATCCTTTCCTCTGCGTTTTGCCCCATGCCAAACTCAGTGTTGTCATGGTGACAGATGACCAAATCAAAGCTAGTAGCACACAAAGGTAGGTGGTCAAAAGGACCCTTCAAAAGGTAAAGACTGCAAGACACAATGTCTCCATTAAATACTGCAGTCCTCAAATATTTGGTCTATTTTACCCTGTTTCTGCAATCAGCAATGACGTGGACCAAATGACCACATTTACTGAAAATTACATTTCACCTGCCATGCACGCAAAGAAAATACACTACAAGTGTACAATACTCTTCATAGAGGCTTACACTCAAAATAGTGTGAGACTCTTTGGATTATAAATCACACTTTTTGTTTTATTCTCTTCAGGGAATAGGTTGTTTTCAATGTATTTCCACAGCCAAGACTACAGTGCATATACAGATCTTCTAACTAACTGTGTTAAAGTTGTTATTTACAGCAAAGGAAGAAAGACACAGAGGGAGACAGAGAGATACCGACAGATCCGGAAAGAAAAACATGATTACAAATCTCCACGGTCCGCTGTCTTCTCTGCTGACCCGTTTATCAGACTGTAATTACTTAACTCACAATCGAACTCAAGCCCATTTGTATTTACAATGACAGGTGTTGTGTGTAAGGTGGCGTGCAGAGCATAACATTTTAGGCAAGTTCTGTTCAATATCTGAATTGTGCATGAGCACATTAAGAAATTACCTTACAATGAAGTTGAAGTTGGAATCCATGAAACGCAACACTATGGTTCCTATACCAGTTCATCCGTCTCTGCTTGACCTTGCCCCAAGTTTCACACATCTTTGAACCTGAATTTGAAAATACAATGGACAAATAGGATTTAGAGGAAAAATATGGTGACAAATGTCACAGTTAACATTATGTTCACACTGTATTCCAGGGAAGTTGCTGAGCATACGTGTTCTTTTCCTAATTATATACTTTTGCACCTGTGAGTGAGTTTTCAGTAGCTTACAGCCACTGCCACCTGCTTCTGTCGAGCAACTGGGATTCAGCACTTGAAACACATTTACAGATGTTGAAGAGAGGTGTAAAACATCAGTTGTTTGCTTCTTTAAGTGTTTTCATCAGATGTGAACCATTCTCTAATCCTGGGCTCAGCAAGACTACACCCAGGGTCCACTTAACACAGAGCTGTGGTGGAGGTGAGGAGGTTGATGATGAGGAAGGTAAAACTAAAGCAAATACACACAAAAGAGCTGAACGTACCGTTTGCATATTATCCCACTGCGCTGCACTGCATAGCCTACATTCATTTTCAGCCTGACTGCTCACACTTGAAGTAAGGTCCACGTTCCCTTGAAACTGCTGGGGAAATGTCAGGTTGGAAGAAGCATCACATGGGTCGTGAACTTATTAGTGTGCCATATCGCCGCCTTGTGGTCGATACGCTGTAATTTGATCGACTGTGCGGTGTTGGACTGAACCTGCTTGAGTCGCCGTTCAGAGATGGCAGCGCTGACACCACCTTTGCGAGCCTGCCGAGGAATACTGAAAGAATTACGTGCCCTCCAAGGACCACGGTACAGACAGTCCCTGGCCTACAACTATGTTATGGACCAGTTTCGTAAGAATAAGGCGAGTTTTCCCACCAACTGCGTTTCAGCTAACGTTAGCTAAGTAAGCTAACTAGCATTACAAACTGCATAGGAGCTGCATGGCTAGCTCTACGTTAACATTAGCTAACCGGCTAACTATTGAATAATAACGTTACTATTTTGCTAGTTACCGTTAAAATAACGTTCTCGCCGCTCGAAAACGTGGTAACTGAGCAAACACCCAACATGACACTGCAGTGTTGTTATTGCCAACTTTGCAATATTTACAAGTAATAGTTCAACGCAAGGTGAGTGACGGAGAAGGACATGCTAACATTAGCCAACAGCTAACTTACTAATCTCAGTGTTGAGACGCAGGTGATAAAGTACTATGTCTAATGAATTAACTTCAGTACACAGGTGTCTAACTTGCGCACACGTGAGTGCAACATGCTAACACTACACAGGATTGAGTCCGTCATTGTGTTAATAACGTTGTTGTTAATTGGTCTCTATGTTAATGCGAAATATAACCGAGCAAACTATAAGCGATTATTTTTAAATCCACTTGGGCATAGAAATCCCTCCATCGTCAGTAAACAAAGAATCTCGTCAGCCAAGGACAGTCCTAAATTAAACTATGTATTTATTTTTAATTAATATGTATACCTACTCTTCCATTAAACAGTGTGTTTATAACCAGCATGTTCATCTCGAGTGCTTGTGATTCTGTTTGTTCTCTGTTTACCCAAAACACTGTACAGCTGCTTGTTGATGTGAGTTAGGATTTTTAGGCACATATATAGCTTGTTTGGTTTATGCTTGGGTGAACATGGCTCACCAGGGCGGTTGAATGCATGTGCAGTCACTGAAGCAAAATAGCTAGGAGCAACTTTTGCTTGTCAGTATGTATTTGTCCCAGCTTTGAAAAGATCCAAAGGCATTATAATATATATGTGAAACTCTATAGGTACAAAATGCTTACTGTCCATGTAGCCGTTACAGTTGATGGAAGAAAAAAAACATTCTGGCAGAAAGGCCTATCATATAGTCACATTGTTTGTGTTATAGTCTGTTACTGGAGTCATTGCTCCACATTGTCCTGTCATCATTTGATCGTCATTAATGGTTTTCTTTCTTTTCCCTCCTCACAGGTAACAGGAGAAAGGTACTGCCGTGCCCAGCAGGAAGCACACCATGCCTCAGACACATACCTGTGTTTGCTGGCATCTACTAGGAACCACCTGGTCCTACACAACCTTTACCATGGCAAAGGAGAGCTAAACCAAGAAGAAGCAGCTGGCCTAGTGGGGCTGAGGTTGCCCACTCAGCCAGGAGGTAAAGGTTGGGAGAAGTGAGGACATGGAAGGATGCAACGTTGAAAGAGAAACTTGACATGCTTCAGAAATGACTTGTGTGTGGCTGATCTCGTCTCATACAATTTACCTCATGGAAAAATTTGACTGGAGTCTGGCAGACTAGACTGGAGATTGTGCCATCATGGACTGCTTTGAGGGAACTCGACTTATTCATGTTGTGTTCAATGATCAAGGGGAGGAAATCTGATCTGAGAGTATTTGAAACAAATGTGAAAATATAATCTATGCTTTGATTGTTTTAGCTGTAAATATACTGTACTATACAGATGTTCCACACCTGCTTTTGTTTGTGTTTTGGCCATTTTAAATGTCATTTGGCAAAAGCAACCATTAAGAAGGACTGTAAGTTTTCATTTTGATTCATTTTTCCCCATTAAAATATTAGTCACTGTTACACTTTTCTGAGATTTTTTAAAGAACTTGGTTACACATTATAACACATTAATGAACATCCTGCTTGCATATAAATTAAACTGGCACTTAAGTACTCCTTTTACATGCAGTTAAGGAGTCAGGTTATAGTAAATATGCATCAGACTTATTTATCAGACATTGATCAAAAGGAATCATGAAGAATATTTATCCTATAGGGAATGTGAAATTGTAAGTCAAATTGGGCTTGGTCCATTCGTGTCTTTATAGACACAGCAATTTGCACAGTTTTTAGTGGGATTCTTGTGGGAGTCTGTCCCACAGAGGTAAAAGACTGCAGAATGTGGTTGTCTTGTGCAGAGAGTGGCAGACATCGCAACATCATGTAACTGGACAAGAGGAAAAGTTTCAAAAATCATCACAGTAAGGGCGTGGGTGGTTCATGTGCAGGGCTGAGCCCTTATTGCAGTGGCCCATGGTTCGAGTCCACCCTGTGGCTCTTTGCTGCATGATTCTCTCTCTCTCTCCCCTGTTTCCTGATTATCCACTACTTGTTACTCTCAAATAAAGGAACAAAAAAAATCAGTTCATGCCAAACACTGGTAAAACTGCATCAGCCAAGATAAACAGTGGTTGCCAAGGAACCCCTTATCAAGAGACTGAAATCACTGCTTAAAAAACACTAAAAGCTGCATCCTCAAAATTTAATTTTGAGCTTTGCAACTCAGCAGAAAATTTATACAATGAAGTTCAAATTAAAATCAATTCAATCAGACATTGAATTACATTCTACTGCACAGTGTCCCATTGATTTTGTCCACCCTTTTACCATATATATATTATACCTGCTTCGATGGAATCTGGTCTTCTTTCTCTGTTGCCTCTTCCTCCACAGCTCCCTCATACAGCACCTCACCTTTTCTGGCCCAACATTAACCATCCCAGTTTTTTTTCGTTAAATCTACCCTTCCTGTTTCCTCTTATTCTCCAGTGGTGACTAACATTGCCTTCAGTGTGAATTTAAATAGACCAACCCCAAAGCAAAGCAACGCACAGTGACACACATGGCAGGAAGACATGCACCCATGCGCTGCCCTGAACTAGCACACACACACACTCAGCCCTGGAAAGAAAGTCCAATGCATACTGACACAACAACGGCTTGTGTCAAAATTTGTATTGCACAAAAAGCAAGATGTAAATGTGCTGCTCCACGGCCCACTTTTTTATGCATCCTGGAACAGACAGTCATGACAAACAGAATGAGAGAGACGAGGTGGGGGGGGGGACAACACTCCCTGTATGCTGCATCCCATACCAAGAAATTACTTCTGCTCATCTGGTCAAACTCTTCTGGGGGGTAATAAACCATGGAAAATTGGCTTGATGCTGTCAGACTGATGCCCCACATTAAGTGAACATAAACGTTTAAGAGTGAAAGGTGGTGATATAAGTGGGAGTCAAGCTGGTAAGACAAAAAAACAGAGCGAAGGAAGAGAGGAGGGCGGAGAAACTCCCCCCGTCAGAGTAGAGGCGGATTTGTTCATTCCTTGGATCTGCAAAGGGGCGAGGATTCAGCAAGTCTCCAACTTCTGTCTCCGAAGGGGGAAAGCATCTGTTGAGGAGAGGTCTGTGCTCACTGGAACAGGGCGCACGCTCTTCTCTGGAGGAGAATTTGCGCTTTGGAGCATCTGGATACTGTCGGGAAGTTACCTCTTGTTTATCAAGGTTTTTCCAGGAGTTGAACGAGGGAGCTGTCAGAAAGTTGTTGTTGCAAAAAGCACAAGGACGAAAGACAGGGTAAACAAACCAAAGGAGCGATAGAGAGGAGAGGTGACCTGGCCGAAGCGACATGTTTGGCATGATAAAGAATTCGCTCTTCGGAAACAGCGAGGAGACGGAATATAAATTGCTCAGCAGCGAGACGAAGGTAAGCAGTGCACGGACACCTGCCAGACACAACTCAGTCACTGCCTATCATTAAAGACTTCTGCAAAATCAATTTATATTCGTGCGTGTGCTGCAAAGATTAGCACAGTTATCCTGCTGTACTGTAAAGATGCAAGGTTTCATTTCTGTTTGCGTTCGTATATTATCCGGCAAGAAACACTAACTAGGTTATGTTAACTTTGCTTTAAATGGCCCCTGTAATGTAATCTTGACTGGCAGTTAATTGCTGGTGACCTATAAGGATGCCTGTAGAGCCGCAGTGTGGGGCAAAGGGGCAAATCAGCAAGGGGTCCTCTGCCAGGCAACAAGGCAGACATAACCAGGCTATGGTGATACTGAGTTCTGTGTAACCCTAAAACAGTAACGCATACACACTAGACCAAAGTCAGAAAGGTTTTAAGCTTTCTTATTAAGTACTGCGCTCAAAGCTAGCTCACAGTTTTCATGCCCCCGCTCTGGCGACTTCTGTGGCGCAAGGTGTTATGTTTTCAGGTTTTTCTGCCCCTTCGTCCCATTCTCGTCAACGGTGATATCTCATGAACGCCCTGAGGGAATTTCTTTAAATGTGGCACAAATGTCCACTTGCACTCAAAGATAAATTGATTCGGATTTGGTGGTCAAAAGGTCAAGGTCACCGTGACCTCACAAAATACTGCTTTGGCCATTTAAGAACTGATGACCATTTTTCTCAGTTGGTGACACTTGACTTGCTTGGCTACTGTGAACACAAAATGACCTTGACAAACAGGTCCATATCTCAAGAATTGATGCCATAGTTATGATAACATTTCGCACATTAGCCTACATGGGATACAACAATCAAGTGACCAAAAGGTCAAAAGTCAACGTCATAATTTCCTGGAAAACCCCTTTTTTGGCCATTATTCAACACCATACTTAGGGAACAGAGGGGGAGATTGTGAACATATTTCACAGTTGGTCCTAGGTGACACTTTTGATTAAAAGGTCATAGACCTCAAAATAGTTTTTTTTAGCCATTATTTAAAAATGAATTGGGCGATTCCAGATTTCACACACATGTTGAGTAAACAATAACTAGCACAGTACGGGCTTTCCTCCTTCTCATCCATTCTGCCTTTCACTTCCTTCCTCATTCTGAATTTCACCTATAGCCCATACAGAGGCTTTGCATCTGAAACTCCCAGGAGAAAACAAAAGCAGTACATTGTGTCGGGCTATAATCCATCTTTACATATTAATGAAGTACATGTGTACCTGTTTAACCAGTACTGTACATCAATGTATCCTTCGGTTCAACAATGTATATTCACTGGAATCATACATATATATGACATATCCGTCCACACTACATATATCACATGAGTGTGGACAGGTATGGATGTAAACTGCAACTTGACTGGTTGGTTACAATCATGGGATGATAAATCTCGTTTCCATCATGGCATTGTGGATGCATGTGTGTCTATGTGTGTGAGGAAGAGAGGTACTGCCCGCATGCTGTGTACATGTATGTGAAACCATAGGTGGACAAGCTTACTGACAATGCCCTGGAAGAGGATGCAGATCAGACGTGTTTGTTATTAACCCATGAGCTCATATGTGGATTGTTTGTGCACGTGGATACACTGACCGTCCCTGATGAAGTCAGTGACATATAAAACCCCCACCCTGCCCTTTTTTATACTATGTATATATTGTATTTGCCTATATTTAATGTATACACCCTTCTGGAAAGATTCCAGTAAATTCAGTCATGTGCGGACAGACATTTCGAGGTTCTTCTCTTGCCCTGTTGACCTACAATGTAGCATGTAGCCATGTAATGTCATGGTTGGTGTGGGTTTCTAAAGTGGCTTTGTTTATCTTTGAATAACTTTTGACAGAGAGACAAAGGCATACAGAATGAGACAAAGAGGACTTCCTGCCCAACTGACCAGAGACAACAGGGAATCAAATGACCCAAACTGACACATTTACCCACACACAGAGGACGGCAGATCTGTTTTGACATTGCACACTAACATCTCTTGTCTGAAGCCCGAGAAGCCCATTAGCCAGCAGTATGTGCACAGTTGTAAATACTCACATTTGAACTGGAAAATAATGTAGATCAGGATTATAATTGGTGATTTATATTACTGATCCAAATCCACCATATAGCAAGGTCACCCACACTTCCTGCCATGAAAACACAGAGCATCAAGGTTTATCAAATCTCTGGACTTGAATGGCTTGTTTAAACAGCAGGTATTGAAATCAATGCTCGTCACCTGATCCATGGAGCACCCGCCTGACTCTGACACCTCACACTTAATTAAAACTGACACAGAATACAGATGAGTTGCCTCACACACACATAACTATGCACACACATTCACAGCAGAACAACAGCAATAGGTGGAGTTCATGTAGACGCTTGCTAATGAATGTAGACAACTATTTTAAGAGAACATGAAATGACACGGCAATTTAACACTCTTAGTGTTGATAATACCTTTCGTGTGCTGTGTTATGGCATGGAGTAATTATCACTTTAAAAGCTGGCATAAGACAGGAGCTAAACACATACATGTACACAACCACAGACACATGACAGACACATTAATAGCACTACTTAACTAGAGGACAGGCTCTGCTTTCTTGGTATGTCACCCATACACAAAGTAATGGTGGTCCCACTGACAAGCCGTACGGAGCAGCACCCTCGTGATTACTATGCAGGAGCTCGTCACAAGTAGAACTATATGATAACATAGTGTTATCTTGTATGTGCTGAGGAATGAAAACTTCTGCATTGTCTGATTACAGGACCACTTTACAGATTTGTCAGGTCCTCTGTAGTGAGTTACCACTGTGGTGGGTTTTCAGTAATATTAGATGGAGGAAAGTTTTATTTGCTATACAACTCTCCAAAGGAGAAAGTCACAAATTCATATACAAGATGAAGAAGAAAGAATGATATTTTTAGATGTGCGTTTTCCTTCAGGGAAGAGAAAACATGCTTAAGAAGCCCACGTAAGAACGAGAATAAGCACTGGAAATGATGCTCTGACCGTATTTCCATTGTTCTCTCCTTTGCAGCTGGTATCATGTTGAAAAAAACCATCTACAAAAATAATAAACTGCACATTTTACAGGAGCCAGCAGCTTCTTATAGGTCGACGGTAAACACTGTAAGGAGAACGAATGACAATGACGTTATGAAAGTAAATTCCTGCACTTAACAACATCATACAAACACACAGAGCCATACACTATAAAATAGCACACAGTATAATGACATTAGTGGAAATGTGGAGCTGTATTTGAAACCTGCATCACAGTCTCTACAGTGACCACATTCCTTCAAAACCTATTAAAGTTATTGCTCAGTGGCATAGTTGAGTGACTGTGTACAACATTAGCCCCACTTAATCATATTTAATGCAAAACTGTTGCATCATATTTTTGCTGTGTGTCTGGGGGTGGGGGCGAGCTCTGTGCATGTGTGTTTGCCAGTGTGCTGTTACGTAAGACCGTGCATCTCTTGCCCATTATTCTCGGTAGGCTGACTGAACACTGCGGAGTAGAAGAAGAAATCAAATCAAATCAGTGTAAATATGTTTTATCCACATCTTATTATTTGGCTGCCCACATTGATTTCACACACCCACATGTACAGTCACACGCACACCAACACACACACTGAGCCCTCCGAGTGTAAATCCCGCCTGTTCAAGGCTTTTCCTTAGGAGCAGACTGTCAACATCACTGTATGAGAGTTGAATCATGTGTGAGGTCACCATATCCCCTGCACGCATCCCCAGGAAAGACGATGTGCATAAAAGCAATTTATGCACACTGTGTAGCTGTGGTTGGCCTGCTGAAGCCAAAGCCACCCCCTTTCTTCCCTAGGATGGAGTTAGCTTTGAGGTGCGGCGGTATGATGGTGCCAAATACGCTGTGATCTCCTCTGAGGGACGATCCTTTGACCAAGTGACAGGGGAGCTGGTGAGGAAGCTGCTTATGTATATTGGCGGGAGCAATGAACAAGGTAAGCCAATTAGAAAATAACACTTTCTGGTGGGTCAAGATGTCTTGGCTCATGAACCAAGAGCACCTACCTGCAGACACAAAATGGCAGACCACTACAAGAGCACCTCTGCAGTTGACAGGAAATCACTTGACCTCAGCAGCGGAAGTTGGTCTTCTTTAGGTTGTTTTTGCATGAACATCTGCATAGCACGTGTGCGCAGTCTACTTGTGGCAGAAAAGGCAAGAAGGTGGCTTTCTGTACAAAAGCACAATTTTAAAACTTTATTACACTGATTTTAGTGAAACTGGATCATATTTTCGTTCTTATGTCCTCTGGCTGCTCTGCCTCACTTCTCAGTGATTTAGAGTTTCCTGATGGACAGATAGCTTTAAAGTAACCCCTAACTGCTGCCAACTGTATCTGCCATTAGCTCAGTTAGGCATGCAGCTCTTGGTCCTATTAGCCCAGATCTGTTACCCACTCTCCATGCTCCGTTTCTGGTGCCCATTCCAGCGCTGCTCACCACCAACATTATTTACTGGGTCCTCCCCATCCCGGGCCTGAAAAGCTCCTCCTCCCAGAGGTCCAACAGAGTTAGCATAAAAAAACAGGAAATATTATAATAAAATATGATCGAGTTTCACCAAAATCAGTGAATAAAGTTATGAAGTTGTGTTTTTCTAAAGTAATCGGTGAAGCCCAGCCACCCTTCTCTATTCACTTCCACTATGCACATGCGCAATGCAGATGTTCACGAAAACATCATCAGCATCCAGGTTCCTCTTTCATGAACTGCCTCCGTTTCCCGTTCTTCTCCCAAGTTAATACATTTCATAGATTGTTTTTTTTAAATAACACACATAAGAAAATATGAGTCAAAAGAACTGATTAATGTAATGTAATAAAAAGATTTTCATATTCTGATGAATGCCACAGCGAAGAAAGACAGTAGACCAATAGCTGAAGGTAAGTAATTTACAGACCATATACATGGCCTGTTTTGCAGTGTCGGAATAATAACTATCACTGTTGGCATCTGCATAATTTTTTTATGTACTCTACACAAAACCACAGATCCTGACCTTTACATGTGGGTAGTTAGCTTTCTCCTCTGTGTTCCCTCCTATTTAAACTCACATTGTGTCTCACACTAAGGTGAGGCCATGGGTACAGCAGCTCCCATAATCATCACTGTGTACCCACGGAATGACGGTGTTCTGTCTCGCCGCTTGGTGGTCAGCATCCGCATCCCCTCCAACTACCAGCAAAGCCCCCCAACTCCCACCGACAGTGCCATCAGGATTGAGGAGCAGCCCGGCATGACTGTCTATGCTCTGTAGGCATTTAAAGTGTTTCGTTTAAAACTGCTGATGTTTATATACAAGGAAGAGAGTATTATGGATGTTTATTTTAAATGCTGTGGGTTAAAGTCTTTCCATGAGTTTTGCACTGTACTAGTAACTTATTTTGTCCAAATTTTCCATATAGATTTGGACAGCACAGTTACCCCACCTGACCCAAATGCACTAGCAGCTATTTTATTTTTGGAGGCCTTAGTTAATATGTTCAGTCTCCTGCAGGACTATTGTGGTAGAGCACGTCCTCAGGCAGGTTTACTTGACCTCACTGGTTCACGTTGTTTGAAATATCAGTGTGCATGTGTGCTTTCTGGGTCCCTGTTCCATTCCATCTGGTAAAAAGTTCAAACAATTCACCCAATTAACACAAATAATCCACGTAATAAAAATGTTTTTCACAGGCAGTTTGGAGGCTTTGCAGGGGAGAGTGAGTACCGAGCAGAGGCCTTGCGTTTGACACGCACCCTGGGTGAGACAGCCCCCTTTCAGCGCAAGCATTACTTCTGCTGCAGCTATGACCCACCGCTCAAGCCTTATGGACGCCGCAACGAGGTGTGGTTTCTACAGGAGGAGCCGTAGGAGCCGTTTGATCAGATCTGAGTCAAATCTCATGCTGAATCCTTTATTCAACCTTAATTACCCTGACAAACCTGTAGCTCTAACAGTATTTGATTGGTAAGAGCAATATGGTGACCTGATAGCCCTTTGAACCCCAATGGACAGATAGAGATTACCCACGTTGCCTTTATCCATCTGATCTTCTGCTTGTCACACATTCAGTAGCAGTGAAGTTAGGTGTTCAAGCAATGGGACAAATTAAAATTTAACATCAAGAGCATTAGCATTTTCTCTTTCATTAGCTAATTTTCTTTCATTTCTAATTTAAACTCACCCCTTGTAGCTCTGGGTGATTAAAGAAATCAATGACTTTAAAAGGTGCAATGTGTAAGATTTGACCAGAATTTGGTTTCAAACATTAACGTTATCAACAGAATGTGCAGAAGGAACAGCTCTAACATCTACGTATTGTGTTGCAGAGATATCTACTTAAACAAGAAACAAGTTCGCTATATTAAACAAGCTCTCTTCGCTTTTTTATTCTAATAAATAAACATAAAGTCCAAATGTCAAGAAAGGAAATACTCTCACTTCTATTTTCCTTATCAAACAGATAAAATACAAATACAACACAGTACACAGCTAACTGTGCTAACGAGTTAGCAGCACTTACGACCTGATATGTGATATGCTGCTCTAGACAAATACAGTGTCAAGAAGTTGAAAGTATTAGTTGGAGTTGCGTGCAATACGTTTCAGTATGTACTATTGTGACAGAGTTCAGTTCTCTAAGTTTCTCTAATTTTCTTCAATTTTAAAAAAATACCTTTAGATAAACTGTTATCTAAGCAACTCAGTGAGTAATGTCTCTGTATTTTAAATTCATGAGTTGATATTTTCCATTCCTTTTAGAAGTACATGTTCGTCCCAAAGGGTCGATAAAGTCCCTGTAGAGCTGTCATCTCCCTGAAGAACACAGTAGGGCTTTGCACATCTTTAATCTAGTTTACACTTAAGTGGCGGCTACAGAGAAATGTATAGAATTAACATTAGATACATGGTAGTAAAAAGCACACTTCCTTTTCCTAAGTAAGGAACTGGAAGGAAACAGGAGTCGAGCCATAAAGTAGAACTAGTCTTTATGAATTAATGGGTGGTCAGCTGTGGGTGTAAATTAGCTAGGTAGCTTTAGGTGTTATTATAAACTGTGTGGTTATGTGTTGATTCAGAAAGCATTTCTGTGTAGTGAATATTTTGTGTTTTAGTGCATGACATCTTTACTTAATCACTGTTGAAACAGTATTATTGGATACATCTGTCCATTGTGATTTTCTGTGATCAGAGTGAATAGTATGTTCACGTTTGATGGTGTTTCATAGCATAATAAATTATATTATTCAGTAAGAGTGTGGATCATTTTAATTGTCTAATTTCTTCATTTTGTGAAACGTTGTCAGAGACAGTACCACTCCAAACACTTGTATTGTACAATGTGGTGTACTATTTCCATAAATTAAAGATTAAACATTATGGTAATTGGACTCCATTATATAGATTAAATGTTTAAAGCACAAGTTCAACCAATGAAAATTAGAAAATCAATGACTTGAATAAAATGCAGAAATACTTAAGTAAATGTCTATCAGATATTTAAGATATTTAACCAAATTATGATGTTTAAAATATGAGGATTGGATAAATGTTTCATTTGAGGTCATTTGGTGTTTAAAACTTCTTAAGCTAAAAAACAAAAATGTCAAAATGCAGAATTCAACAAATTACTCATTTATTAGATTATAACTGAGACAAAATTCAGCAAGAGGAATAAGAACTGCAAAAGATTAATGTATAGACATTTGATTAATTCAAGCAAACCAAAAACTACCCCCCCCCCCCAAAAAACCCCAATAAAAACCCCCAATATCCTCTATCCTCTACAACAAATAGTTCTTCAGGTGTTAACTGATGCACAATGAGGAGGATGCAATTACACACCATGTTGACACCTCACCCCACTTTAATCAGGAATAAATCAGAAGTTTCAACAGCAGGCAAAACACTGATGGGCCCTTAATGTAATGCTGTGGCCCTGTAACCCTACATTAGTGAAATTTCAATAGAGTTCTGATTTCAGCTTGGCTCTGCATACATGAATACAACAGAAGCTAGGACTAGAGAAAGGGTTATTCAGGTGACCTCAGCCTGTCACCTATAACCTTGTAAATGTAAGGTTGAAATATTGCACATACAGAGATTTGTAATGTGAGAAATCTATCTATTCCCCCTTTTCAAACACTGCACTGCTCCTTTTGATAACAAAAACCTCCATTATATATATATATATGTTATTTGTGAGATTTAGGTCATACAACGGAGTGGAATTACTTATACTGTCATGTGACTGACAGTGCAGGATCACATTGGTCATATATGAAGGAAACTTTTAACTCACTGTATTACTGTTCAGTAACAACCAGTTCTAGTTTTGTATATGGACAACTACTACTCAACACAAAACTGTATAGGAAATACACAAAGTACCTTCAGTGATACTGCAAAAATACCTGTGTTAATAGGAGTTGGTATTGTTAATAACTATAGGAAGTGCAATCAAGAAATTGCTACAAAAAGTTTCGGTAATAAATCTCCATCTTTAAAAATACATTCCCCATACTACCTCCTCCTTACAGCTCTTAACAAGGACAGTTTAGGTTCCCATTACCTTGTTAGAGACAGACAGAGTAAATAAATCCAGTCACTCAGAATGTTAACAGTGACGAGTCTCAGAAAAGGTCCAAGCCATCAATCATTTTAAGTGAATTTATGTAAAAGGGAAAAACTCTATTTAATATATGTGACTGCTTAATGAGCTATTCCAGTATCCAAAATGTTGTTGATTCATTGGTGATTTATCACTGACATCTTTGAGCCCTCTATTACTTGCATTTTCTTTTCTATATTCTACAATCAAGTAGGTATCCGTGAACATTACTCCTGGCTTTAGAATATATTTAAGATACAGAGGAAGAGAGAGGAGTGTCATTGAAGTGCAAGAGTCTCAGTTGCTTTTCTTGTCAGGAGAGTTTGGATAAGGTGCATATGGTGGAGGCCTTTCCTGCAAGGGAATAAATAAAAATAAAATTAAATAACACAACTTTGTGCAAGCGCCATTAAAAGGAGAACTCACATGTCATGTCTACACAACTTTAAGCAAGGTGAAAACAAGCAAAGAAGCTTACAGTGGGCATGTAGACATTGTGTGGATTGCTGGGATTGTAGTACGCACTGCCTGCTGCTTCAGCTGCCTTGGAGTTACCTGTGCATAAAATGAGGCATGACAAAGACAGGATGATAAAGTCAGACAGTGACGACTGCTGAACATATTTAGGAACAGACGCTACAGTTCCAAACTTTGTAAGGAGGACTGATGCGAGGAGCACAGTACTAGTCATATGAAGTACAACCAGTGAAGGCTCCAGTAATCTTCCAGACAAAATCTACTGGCGCACCCTGAGGATGCACAGAGGCAAAACGCTCGTCCTCACTTGGAGATATGCCAAACTGACATTTCACAGTGTACCAAGCTCATCCCATGTGCAGGGTGAGACTGTTTTCAGCAAAATCCACAAGGTGCTAGAAAAGAGATCGGGGAGGGGAGGTTGTTTTATCCTTTGTAATTTTGATGTGTAGCGGATGAGACAGCAGCACCCCTTTTTTGGTGGCGTGATTCGAAGTGATTCACTTTGAGGGAGACAGATCAGATCTGACGGGTGCAGTGACACACACATACATAAGAGGAACAAAATAAAGACAGAGCGAGAGAGAATTAGACCTGGAGGTGGTGTCGGTGTTGCTGTCCAGTTCTGGGGCGGTGCAGTCCAATTTTGGGGTGGCCCAGGGTAGGGAGGAGGTGGGGCCATGTAGTCAAAACCAGATGGGTACATTCCTGGAACATAGAAGACCGACAGAGGGAAAAAAAAAAAAAAAAAAAAGACAGATGGAGTTTCAAGGTCCAATGAGGTTACATCATTTGTACCTCAAGGGTTATTACTTATGTGCAATGAGGACACTGACGACAAAAAATGTGAAAAACAAATATGTGGCAACTGCAAACACATGCATGGAAACATAACCTAAAGGCTAAAAACTATGAAAGTCTCCACATCTTTGAGTATATACTGGCCTTTTCTACATTACAATTATTGACTGTGAAAGTGAAAGAACGAAAAAAGAAAATATCCTGCAGAAAAAAAGCTAGTAAGTAGTCCTTGAGTGAAAACTGTTTAGCAAATCCTGAAGACTTTACACTTAATTTGTCATGTGTACCTTCGGTGTAAGCTGGCATATAAATGTCATATTACAAATTACTGAATTCTGTACCTGCAGTGGCTGTTGGACAGGGGTAGCCCATGTTACCAGCAGCAGGGGGAGGGCCCTGGTAGAATCCATTCTGCTGGGGAGGGGATGGGTAAGGATAGGCGGGAGGAGCATGCGGAGGTGGGCCGTAGCCATTCATCATTCCAGGTGAAGGATAGCCGTAAGAGGCAGCACCGTTTTGTGCAGGAGCAGCACGAGAAGCTGAAATACAGAAAGAGAAAAGTTTTTTTGGCAACAAATAAACTGGACTTTCCAGAGGTTATAGGCGTATTCATTCACTCACCATTTTTCCACAATTGCCTATTTTGCATATAAAGTATATCTATACTAATGGGGCCACTCATTAAGAGACGCTATACTTCTTTATTATTAAGATTTTAACCTTGACTGTAGTATTTTTACAATGTGGTATTACCACTTTGGTTGAGGATTTAAATACCACTTTACCCCCCAAATAAAGGAGTTATTAAAGTATATTCTGCATTGTATAATGTGGGAAACAGTGACTACTGTAAGGAAACTAGCATACAAACCATTTGTGGCCAGTTTGAAGAGATCCTGTCCCAGCTCTATGGCTCCTCCACTGGGAAATGACATCTTGAAATGGGCCTGGCCCTCCCAGCCACCTGATCAAAGAGTCATACATTTAGAACAAATGCAGAAGGCTACATTTGTGCTTTATTGTGAATGGTAACAGAGACGACAGGCATGTGCAGTCCTTTTATTTTGACTAAGATAATGCACCTAATATCTATTGTATTGTGCAATACAAATATGACCATTAATGAAACTAGTATTAAATTAAATTCAAGTTAAAAGCAAAAACAAATGGCCACATACCACCAGGTTCAGCGGACACTGTTCCTTTAATGTAGTTGGCCCCAAAGACTGGCTGCTCAATGCTGCAGCCCTTCATCAGATAATAGGGGAACATGGCTGAACCCAGGCAATCCTTGGTATTACTGGAAACAAACACCAGCTAAGCCAGTGAATGAGGGAAGAGACAAATGAGTGTGTGGGGAGAGTTACAACATATGATATAATATATGAGAATGCGAACACTGAACACGAACAAACGCCATGTCATTTCGGCTGTACCCTGTATGGCGTGAGGTAAACGGTGCCCTTCTTAGTCCCCCTCAGCAGGTCTGTCTTGCAGGCAACATCGCTGAATGACAGCTCCACATTCTTACATTCCCTTACAACACTGAGGAAAGAAGAAATAAAGGAACCTGTTACAGACCCCACAAAAGATCTGCTGACACAACTGTGGTACGAAATATCAATTGAGAATTGTTTGAAACTACTGTATTTCATAACGTGTAGCTTACACACCTATATATGTTGCCATTTTGGTCTCAACAAGATGTCAACATCCTAACGAAAGCTACCGCTACTTCCTGTTTTGATAGTCGGCTTACGTTACAAGTTAGTCATCTTGCTTAAACCAGCGGTCAAGATACGCGAATGCTATGAAGTCGGTCGTTACTAATATTAAAACCCTCGTTTAAAGCAGTAAACACATCATGTGAATTACACAGCTAACGGCAACATTAGCAATGGAACAGAAGTGTCAGCCAGCTATGCTAACGTTAATCAGGCCAGCAAGCCAACAGTTAGCAGGAGGAGGCTAGCGTGTGCATAGCATTCTGTTGACTACGCACTGGAAAGTAAACATGCCAAGAAGAGAGGCGACAGCTAGCTAGTTAATCAAATTCTCCACATAAATGCAATAGATAACGTTACCTTTCTCCGTTGCTTATCACAACGCCGCCGTTTTGCGAGTGATTCCGATTTAAAGCCATGTTTGAGAGTCGTCTGATGCTTTCCTGCTGCTCAAGTCGGACTCGGGGTCGGGTATGCCACAGGAACGTCACGGGCGTTACGTCACGACACCGTCAACAACTCGTGACTCGTAGGATGCTCAACATCATTAGCATACAGACTGCTGCGTCCCGCTGATACCTGCCAGTTAAGATCATTGTTTGAAATTTGATCGATCACGTAAATAACTACAGGTTCACGCGATGTCTTCTGGCATCCATGCCGGAACACCGGTATCACAGGTGTCCAGAAATGTATAAGGCCTATGATGTTCTTATGTGTCTATAGTCTACCATCCAAACCTCATTTGATTAACCCATCTCATTCACAATTTAAATGAAATGATGAATGGTTTAGGTAGATGAAGTCAGTCCACGCGGAATTTAACCGGTCTCTTTAGGCATACTCTCATTTAAATATTATTTCCAAAACCAAGTTTGTCTACTTGAAGAATGGGATGGACTTTTAATAGTAGGCTAATCACAGATCCGGACAGCACAAATGGACTTTCATTTGAAACACTGACAGGATGCTGCAGTGAATAAAGGTTAAAATGCTTATGTAATAATTAGATGGGTACAAGCATTGCCATGGGGAGAGAGGGCGAGGCTGGCAAGTCCTTTGAGTTACGCAATGATTTCATGTAATGGCTCCCCGAGGAAACCTTGGCCCGTATGTGCACAGCATGTAGTATTTAAACACTGACCTTTTTATTAATTGCCAGCGTATTCTGTCCTACTTTTCAAATCAGTTTTAATCAGGCAGCTCTTGGGATTCACAGGTGGCAACAGCGAGACACAGCAAGCTTCTGACCAATTAACACTAATTAACAGAAGTCGCCTGACCCCTTCGCATTGTCAAATCAAACACAGAACCTGCATATCTAGGACCAACGCCTTATTAGCCAAAACATAAGAAGATGAATTATTATTGTGCAAAACCTCATTTCATTTCTTTAATTTTTGCCTTAATGGCTCAACACCGTTGGTGTTTCTCAACGGTCCAGATGAAGAGAACACCTTCGGAGCAGGCCCTGCCGAGAGTCACCTGCTCTGATGGAAGGATAAGAGCTGTTTTCGGTCCGCTTGTCAAAAGCAATATACATGTTAAAGGTAAGATCGCTTTCTTTGTTGCAATACTAAATGTCCAACCCATGAGATGGATGGCAGCAATGTTCTGGAATCGTTTCAGTAGGCTACAAAGTGCTCACTCAATTGCTTACATTAAAAGTAGGCTCTCAGCATTTGCGTTGAATCCATCAATAATGTGTGCATTGTTGTTTTCTTAGACATGACCGGGGCCACAATCCCAGTGCCTCAATCGGAGGGGTCCTGTGGCGTGAAAGTGGGCAGAGAGAAAAACCAGGTCCTCTCCTTTTACAGCACATATGACAGCTGCTATGCACATATTGAGGTAAAAAGGAAAAAAAGGGCGATGTGCTAAAGTTATTGGGGTTGAACATTATGTTTCTCTTATATACAAATCAAGGCTCTCTCCAGCATTACTAGTTTATTTGGACCCTCCCCAATTACTATGATTAACAAGGCACTCCCTTCCCAACAACATTTTTAAGTGAAATACTTTTGATTGGTACAGTGAACCATAAACTGAAGTGCACAAGGAGTTGAAAATATTGCGTTCCAAATTAGACCTTAGTATATTAATGGAATAATAATCTTCTCCTTGCCACCAAATCACACAATTGGAATTAACAATTGCCAAAAGTATGGCCAACAACAAAATAATGCATCCTGTTGACAGAATATTCCAACTGTCAGATTTGCAGTTTTTCTTTTTTTTTTTTCCTCTTTTTACATTTTACTGATTTTGCTTCCTCACTATCCCAAAAATGTTTTGACTACCCTCTGCTCAGCAAAAAGAAAAGAGAATTTTTAGAACCTGCTCAACCCCCTTTTAATTTTTGCTCAGTCCCTAACAGGATTGTGGGACAATTTAAAGATCACAGTGGCAGGGTTCTCAGAGAAAATATGGAAATGGTGATTACCAGTTAGTTCAACAAATGTATGGATTTGATCACAATAGGAGGGCTACTTACAGATTTGAGTGATTAAATTCTTATGTTTTTTTTGTCATGTGTGTAAAGCACATTATGCATAGACACATTGGGTCATAAACCATATTACCATTTTATGGAAATGTGTGTGTGTAAATGGAAAAATGGTGTGTATGGCTTCAACACCCTCATTGTGATCCTCAGGGCAGCAAAGTGATCATCCCTCTGCATGTACAGCTGACCGGAGAGGATCAATGGTTCAGGGTAAATATCAGCTGTCCTCTGATAAAGACATACAGTGAGAGGACTCGACTTATCCCAACACGTGAGTGGAAACAGCTGAGAAGCGGAACAAGCTCATTGACACGGTTATGTTTTCTATCTGAAGTCAGTGCTTATTTTATTATTTTTGTCCATTTCATCAATCAAAACTTAAAGTGGCATATTTTCCTTTGGCGCCTCGTCGAGAGTTCAGAACCATTTATTTACAAGTGATGCCATGGGATGTTTGTACCTGTCATTAACAATACAATGAGGGTTTGGACAATACAGTGTATTCTGTCTTCTCCAGCCTTACCTAGAAATTGTGACATACATAGACCTCTACGAGTGAACTGTGGACCGCAGCGCATTTCTGGTGATACCTGCAACAAACTGGGATGCTGCTATGATGCTCAGGATTTAATCTGCTACTACAGACTCGATAGTAAGATTGCCATATCTATCAAAGTACTCTATACATGGAAGTTATTTTTTTCGTGATGAGGTACATGAATTGACCTTTCCTCCAAATAAGATATGGTCAACATTTTCCTGTGTGTTAACACTCCCTCTAGCCTGCTCTCTGGACGGACACTTTGTGTTCTCAGTAAAGGCCACAGACAGAGACCCGCCCGTCGACCTCAGCAGCCTCATGGTCAAGGATCAGCCACAATGTTTCCCTATGATCACCACCCCAGACATGGCTGTCTTCAAGATTGGAGTCACGGACTGTGGTGCAAAGATGACTGTAATGCTACTTAAGTGTTAGATTCCAAAATGAGATGTCTGATTAAAAATATCACCTTTTTACAAACTACAGTCACATGGGGTAGTTGATATGTTTGCTTGAGTTTTGAATTCTTTTGTCTCTGCCTGGCTTTCAGGTAAACGGAGATGTGACGTTCTATGAGGTGGAAGTGGAAGAGCTGCTTACTGAAAGTGTAACCAAAAAGTTGCCATTTAGGTGTGTGTATATATATATATATATATATATATATTTTTTTTTTTTTTTTTTTTTTTCCCCCTCACACTTGAAGTATACTAGTGATGACAAATGTCCTGGTAAGTTTGAGGTTTTTAGTCTCCAGGTCCAGTGTGCATATGACACATCAGATTTAAAGCGTGCAGCAGCCTTGCAGCCCTTGTATGCAGTGACCAACCCGCCGCCTGTGGTTGCACTAGGAACCATCAAAGTGCAGATGAGAGTGGCCAAAGGTAACTAAAAAAGGAGCGCAGTATGGAATCACTCAGTGAGTTCTGCATTGTGTCCTTTAGAACAAAACCTTAGTGACAGTATTTGTGATTTGTTCCTCTAGATGCATCTTTCACATCCTTTTTTCCAAAGGAGCAGCTTCCCCTGACCATGCCCCTGCGTGAAGCTACATATGTAGAGATCTCTATTGCCCAGCCGTCCCCAGACCCTACACTTTCCCTACGTGTGCGGGATTGCTTTGCCTACCCTGCGTCTGAACACTCTGTGTGGACGCTGCTCTATGATGGGTAAGATGGAGTTACTTACTCTGGTAACCTGAGATGAGAAACTGGAATCGCGTGCATAAGTTACTGAGCAGCTGACAATTTCTTTTCCTCCTGGATAGATGTCCCAACCCTTCGGATAACATGAGGAGCTCTGTTCCTGTGGACCACATGGGGAAGACAACCTCCCTCTCTCAAGTCAGGAGGTTTGACGTCAAGACCTTTGCCTTCTTGGACCCTCTTACAGGCCAACCAAGTGTGGAGGAAGTAAGGTCATCACATCTGTGTATTTCTGATATAAGTGTGTATCTCTGCAGACATGACTGTGTTATCTCTTACATAGATATACTTCTACTGTTGGGTGGAAATCTGCGCAAATGATGATCACTGTGCACAGAGCTGCACAATCATTTGTGAGTATGTTACGTATGTTTCACCTGGTACACTATATGTGTTATTAAACTTCTGTCTCTCCTCAAACAGCATCTGAGGGTGAAAGACAGAGAAGAGATGTGATGTCTGAGTCCCACCAGGTCATGGTGGTCTCTTTAGGGCCACTGCTGCTGGGACAGAACAACACTGAACTGGAAGCCAGTGCATGTGTGAAACGGAAGACAAGTGCGTCCTGCACAGAGCAAAGCTATAGTTAGTGTGGTGGAACGACGGCAATACTTGAATTAAATGGGTTTTCTCTGTTCCTCAGTGTTTCAGGTGACTGTGTATATGCTCTCTGGTGTTTGTGCCGCCCTGCTATTGATCCTGCTGTTCACTGTATGGTCATGCATCAGAAAGCAGCAGAAGCCAGACGCACAACAAGCTTGTGATACACAAGTTGAAAGTGAACAATCTCAATAAAACATTTCACTGTAAATGCGAACTTGTTATGGTACTGTGTAATTTTAAGGAGAGAGTGCTCTGACCCTGGTGTGACCGTTCCATCATAAAGTTATTAGTCATAAAATCCACAGCTGTAGTCTATCATTACTAGCTATTTCTGTTTTGTAAATCAAGCCAAAAGTGATCCTGCATGTCACCTTTTAATAATTCGTTACCAACAAATGTTTTCGCAAATGTCTTATGAGCTGCTGGTAATTAAATGGTCATGAAAAGAAGTTAATCAGAATAAGTTTATTAACACAATGCTCAGGTTTATAATGTAACTAAACCCAATCTGTGAAATTAGCCTAGAAAAAGTAGACTCAGTAAGGTCTGAACTTTCTCTGTGCCCTCAGCAGAGATATTCTCTGTTTATCCTCCTCGAACTTTTTCCTTAGTTCAGCAATATCTGAAACGGGAAAAACAAAATGCAGTTAATTTCCTTCAAACAATAAAGGGTAACATTAGCATCTTTCAATCTGGACCTTATTTTCCCATGTGTCTGTGACTTTTTTTTTTTTTTAAATTGGTCCAATATTGAGCGAGACAGGGTTCAACGTAATCCTCTGCATCCTGTCAAAGTGTGTCCACTAAAGTGCTTGTTTTTGTCACTGATAGGCTCAGGTTGTTGTGTATTTTTACCTCTACCTATTGTGACTTTGGTGTTTTAAAGGGTTAAACACACTAAACTAACCAATAGCAGCAGTAGACCAGAAATTCCTGTGTTCTGTGAGTTATAATTGCTGTTTTTATCAATAGAGTCTGGTGGCTTTGACAAGAGTGATAGAGCGACTGTTTCTGGTTAAACAAAAACCTATAAGCCTGTCTCTGAGGAGGCAATATTGTCCACAAGGATTACGTTGCAGCCCTGTTTTGCTGCATCTGACTGCAGTGTGATTGCTCAACACTGGACCTTTTTTTTTTTTTTAAATGGTCACACAGACACACAATCGTGAAAAAATAGGGTCTAGGTTGAAAGATACTGAAGTTACCCTTTAAGGGCAAATATAGCCTGCAGATGAAGAAAACAATAAGCCAAACTGGCAACTTACGTTCTTTCTGTGTGTTTCTGTGTTGCCAGGTGTAGAAGTTCATGAGTTCCTTCCTCTTTTTCTTCCCTCTCTCTTTCTGTAGAGCCCTCTGGTTGGCTGCCTCACTGTGGGGACGGGCCTTGGTACCCTTGTGTCCTCTTGTGACTTTCACCCAGCCCTCTTCATCCTCTTGTTGCTGCTCAGCCTCCTTCTTCAGCCTCTTTGCATGCTGTGACAAAGAAAACAAACCCAAGTGGAAGTCATGTGCACTGTTTGGGTGGGTGAGGGTGGAGAAAGAGCTGCAGAATTCTCACCTCCTCTTTCCGCTTGTCGTAGTCCACCATGAAGGAGTCGACTATTTGTTGCAGCTTGTCCGGCTGAATAAAACACTCTGTGTACTGCTGAATCCATTCTGGCATAAGAAAGCGCAACACATAACATGAATGTGTCATACAATTTCTGCGTGTGTGATCAACAAGGACGTGGCTTACACTGAAATTGCCAGGAAATACCAGGTTCATATTTAATAGAATTAATGCAAAGCAACACAAAACAGCCATGAAGTGAGAAAATAATATTAGATTTTGCATTAATAAAAACAAAAACTCACTCTGTACTCCTGTCCTCACTGGATGCTTCTCTGTGCTGACCACCAGCGGCACATTATGTGGATGTGATTTAGCTGCTGTCAAACTGGAGGAGTTTTGGAACACAATGTAGCCCACTTTGAAACCCTGGAAGGGACAGAGAAAACAGAGGTAAAATAATGACCTGAAATATACTGTACATGTTAAGTACAGTTAATGTTTGCTTGTGGTGTTACAGAAGAAAAAAGTCAGCTGTAGAGCTGCAACAATTACTCGATTAGTTGTCAACTATATTTTGAGAATCATTTGTGATATGTCCAAATTCTCTGATATCAGCTTCTCAAATGTGAATAATTTCTCGTTTCTTTACTCTTCTAGGACAGTAAACGGAATATGTTTGGGTTGTGGGCTTAACAGGACATTTGAAGACGTCATCTTGGGCTTTGGGAAACACCGATTTTACCAATTCACCATTTTATGAGAATTTGCACACCAAAGAACTAATCGATTAATCATGAAAATAATTAATCATTAATTTAAAAAGAATGCTGTATTGCAGCCTTGCTCGGCAGCAGTAAGGACCAACCTGTTTTTCAGCTGGTTTAAAGAACTTGGAAAGCTTGGGTCCAGAATCCTCAAAGGAGCCCGGGTGGTCTCTCAGCTCCACGGTCTGAACACACCCGAACTGCGAGAACAACTCTTTGACAACACCCTGAAACAAAAACAGCACCGCAGGTCTGCAACACTTAGTAGTCTGAATTTGTATGAGGAGAAAATAATTATATGATTAACATGTCGTCTAGACCAAACAGTGAGACATTCATTGAGTATAAACTATACCTGTGAGCAGTATGGAGGGATGTTGAGCACGAACAGAGTCCGGTCCAGTGGTCTGTGAGAACTCTTCTCAGCTCGGACTCTGTGCTCTTTCACATACAGCTTGTGCTGTGCAACGCTGTCGGAACTAAACTGTAAGGGCAGTACTGCGAAGAGAGAAAGGAAAACACAAAATAACCTAAAGACAACACGTCACTCTGTATCAGTAACCCCCGAGCGATCCCTGGCTAACAGGCAGAAGAGGGCTACAGATCAATAACCACCCACACCGCGTAAAATGACAACAAACACTTCTGACCGAGAACAAATCAGTATGCTAGCGAGAGGCTGAAAGTATTATTATTAACTTAGCCAATTATTACCCGTAAAACCTCCAGGAATAACACAAGGCTGGCTACTGGCATGTTTCTTCTTGGCCGGCGCCATCTTGTTGTGACCTTTCACACCGGAAGTACAACTAAAACCAAGTACGTAATTTTTTCTACAGAAACACAACACCACTAAAATTTAAATGACGGCGTATAAAACTAAATTAATTAGACATATACTGTAATGTAAGCATGTAATGGAAAATAATCAGATACCATTATTAACATATTGCACAGTTTTTTCTATTTTAAGAATTTCCAAACGCAGCCAGTTCACCATAAATTGTCTTATAAGATCTCGTTATTTTTACATAAAGATTACAGTGAGAAAACAGTGCTAAATTGGCATTTCTAGCATGAGCATAAATGAAGGATTTACTTAAAAGGTCTGTTGCCAAATGTTCACATAAGGAAGTCAGTAATTTTTTGTTGTAATTGGTTATAAGGTAAGCACAACTATTCAGCTTAATTCAACACTGAAACTTTATAAAATATACAAATACACATATAGTAAATATGTAACATATTGAGTTCCATGTCCAAAAATAAAAGGGAAATCCTAAGTAGCGTAATCTAAATTTATTAGCCAATTAAATCAGGCTTCTAATAAATTCAAATTGTCATAGCCCTTGAGAAGCTGATGTATAATTGCATTTCTAGTCTGAAGTTTTGAGAAAGCCTGCATGCTGAAGGTATATGACATTGACCGCTAGAAAAACACCATCATATGGCAGACTGGAAAGAGGAGCCTCAGACAACATCTACAAAGCTTAATATTTAATGGAGACATTTCACAGACAGATCTGACTTTGCTAATCTTTTCTTGACTGACCTACGGAGAAAGCAACCGAAAGTAATTTACAGTCCTTGAACATAAATCGAATGTAATGTATACTAGAAAGAATTAAACATATACAGCTTCAAAACTGGATAACCATGTAAAAACAGTGTCAAACGGCGCACACAAGAATCTGGATGAAACAAGCATGTTGAAAACAACTAAAATATCAACATAATATGACATATGACATATGTTTTTGAAAAATGGTTGATTAAAATGGTATATTAGTGTTTGTCCATCCCTGATTTACTCACACAAGTGTTTTCAGTTATTTTGACTCATAAGACCTCTTCTCAGATTAAAGTTATGGAAACTTCTGGTGAGGATTTGCTGAGGACAATTGCCTGTCCTGCCTAATCAGGTAGATATGTTATCTACTGCAGTCTGTACTTCCCTTTAAAAAAAAACAAACAAACAAACAAAAAAAAGAGGTACAGACAATAAAACTGAACACACCTGTGTGCGTGTGGGCCTTAAACATAACACATCTCTTAGTAATGACAATGCTGCTCAGTGTCTGTCAATTAGTCTCCTTTTTTTGGGGACTCTGGGTTGTAGGTAGAGTTAAACTGGAGTATTAAAAAAAAACCTCAACATATCCAAATGGGCTGCCGTTTAATTGACAAAAAAGAAAAGAAGAAAGCCCTACACATCCAGGTTCATTTGGCATCCCCCAACACATTGGATTAAAACAACAAATCACATAACTTCTTTCCATCAGTTGATCTTAGGAAAAAACTGGTGACATTCGGTTACCACAAAACCAAAAACAAGATAATGCATATCCATGAATGTCACGTTCAAAGAAGTCATGTATATCAAATGTGTAAAAATGAGTTTCATATGAGAAAATGCAGACTGCCTGCTGTCACGGTGATAAACACAGTTTGTATGTGAACACTGAGAATGCAGTAATATGTTCATGAACAGTGTATTCACACTAGACATGAGCTATATCTTGATGCGAAAGGCGGTGGCCTGTGAGCTGGGCGGCTCAGTGGTAGAGGTGGACTGTGCAGTGGACTTGAACAGAGCTTTGAGGATGGTCTGGGGGTCCACTTCTGGAGTAGGCTGAGAGGAGGCTCGCTGACCGGCTGGGCGAGACAAGGAGGGGGGCAGACCGTCTTTCTTTGTACTGCTGCCTATGCCTGGAGTGTCACTGAGCCTCCTGTAGGAGTGAAGGAGAGACAGAGATGTCACATTTCCTGAAGAACTTAAAAATAATAGCTGCAATCATTATGCAAAAAGCATGGATAGCGTAAGCCAGAAACACAGCAACAGCTAATGGCATTCACATTTCAATGGGAAGCTCGCTTAATTGCATTACATTTTGAAGCAATTTACTGTGAACAGTACATCCATAGTTTAGACAAAATGATCCAATAACCAAAAGTGAGTAAGTGCTTCATAAAAGGCAGCTCAATTTAGCCCCGAATCACTTGTGAAACACTCAAATGCTTGTTCAAGAGTGAGTAAATCCTGCCTGGATAATCACTAGGCCTGCGTGATACGGTTTAAAAAAAAATAATAAAAAATTCAGTGATTATTTTGACAGAAGTCACGATTTGTGATGTGATTCACAATTAGCGGGAGTGATATTTTTTCCATCACAATATTTCATTTCACTGAATGATAACTGTATGACATTTATTAGGGCCTGTACCGAAAAACACGTTTTCTTACATCTGGAGAACAAGGACAAGAAGGCCGGGGCATCTCTGCACAACTACAGCACTTCATTACAATGCATTTTTGCCACACATTAGACATTCATCAAAAAGTTGCAGCTTCTGCAATTCTGATATTGGCAGTTGGCCATATTGCAATTTGATAATATTTCAATTAACTATGTAGCCCTAATAGTCTCTGCTGAAGTACTTGCAGGGGATTCTTTGCAAATTTAAGAGAAGCAATGCTACTATCCTTTATACTTAAAATAATTAAATGCTTAAAGGCTAACATGACTTTCAGTCACTCAGGGTTGAGACAAATTACAACTCATAGGAAATATGCGACATTAAGTGTGAGCTCACACTCAGTTACAGATTAATTTGAAATTAAGAGATAAAGCCTTGCAGGCTCACTTACAATAGAATGGGCTGATCAGACGTGATGACATTTCCCTGAATATGGAGGTTACACTTCATGGGCTGGCCTGAGGGTGGACAAGAAAAAAATTTATATTTAAAAATAAAAAACAGATGATGCACAGAATCAATCAAACTATCAATCTGGTTAATGGCCATCTCAGTGATGCTGACTACATCTAACTTGGCTAATCTTCATTTCAACATAAACACTTTGTTTTACAAACATATACAATGATGACTCTAACCAGCAACCTTCATAGTAGTAGTCACTGACCAACATGCAAAATAGAAGCCAGTGCCCAAAACCCAGAGAGCCATTTGATGTGTGTGCGTCCTTGTTACTGGCACTCACCATCCAGGCAGCGATTGTTGTACTTCCTGTATGCACTCACAGCGTCGTCTTTGCGCACAAAAACCACTTCAGCTACGCCCACCTTCACCAGCCGGGCTCGCTTCAAGGCCCCGCACACACAGAACAGTTCCTGAACAAACAGATGGGGAGTACAAACACACACAGAATGTGTCATCACAGCGCTGCAGCACTCGGCACACCGTCGAATATCAAGCATAACAAAACTGTTACTGTCGATCAGTGTGATTTACTTACAACTATGTCTTCCTCAGTGACCCGGGGATGCAGGTTGTTCACTGTGATTTTTGTCCCCTCCAGAGGACTGAAAGCAGGCTAGGAAGAAACAAAACACCACATGATCAAGCACATGCAATTAAAATGGCTGACACGCATGCCAGCATGGTTAACATGTCAAATTGCCTGATAATCCTAAAATGAATTACTAGGGTGAGCACCAAAAACTGACAGGCAATCAGCATCCAGATCAGCTATTTTATTGTGACGGAGGAGGCATAGAGGGAGTAAAAGTAAAGTAGAGGACTGGGTTCAATTCCTAGCGTGGAAAAATATTCATACAATATAAAATATTATTTTCTAACATAGGTGTCTTTGATATGATGAGTTACTTAAGAGCTTATCTACAAAAGGTTAGCAATAGCTAATGTTATCGCTACGAAATTATAAAATCTGGGGTCTGCTTAGTGAAGTATGGTTAGCCAAGGGAGTCTTTGATAAATAATCTGAAGCATGCAACAGCTTTCAGTGTAAGCATTTCTAATTAACATTAAATGGCTTACTAAACTATCAATCAACCTTAACCTGGTTGGTGTCTCTCAATAGGCTCAATTTGAAATGTATGTATCTAACATAAATACATATTATGCTGAATAATAATATTAGGTGGAGATGCGCTACAAAAGGTGGGGAAGGAGGGCATCCTGAGCTACTTATGCAAGCAGGAATATTCACCTGTGAGGGAGTAGGAGCTGTTGTGCTGCTTTCTGCTGGGCTCTGCTGGAGAGTCCTGGAGACTGGTTGCAAGGCAGCAGGTGAGGACCGAGCAGCAGCCATGCTGGTGCTGGGCCGGGTGGGAGCCACAGGGACGGGAGGACGTGGGGCCGTGTAAGCATCATTTTTAACCACTTTAGTTATTGGGGCTGACATGGAGAATGAAGAGCCCGCTGCACTGGACTGTAAGAAATACAGGATTGGAAAGAAGAGTAAAATTTTATGGGGGAGACGGACACTGGATGTGCAGTAATTTTAAGTATGTGTTTGAGTCCCTGTTGATTCAGACGGTATGGAAGATCAGGTCAGCTTTCATGAAGCAGCTCTTACCCGTGACTGTAGCATACTATTAGCCGTAGTGATCTTCATTTGTTTACTGGGAATGCCATCATGCTCATTTGACACAGGCTGTGGGAGACAAAATATTCCATCTTAGTACCATGTTTCACAGTCTAAACCATTATACAAGGCTTTGTCATGTTTAAAAATGGCAACAACAAAAAAAAGAGCTCTACCTGTGTAGCTGCACGTATTCCACTTAACATCCCTACTGGACGTTGCTGTAAAAAGAGGCATCAAACGTTAAAGGACAGTAAGCGTGTCAGTGTGCAGTTACACTTCAACAAGTATATATACATGCAATGACTGTTAAAGAACAAAGAAACTCATTTTAACCTCACCTGGATGGTCTTGGTTATTTTCAGGGGTACTTCAGCAGCTGCTAGTGTCTGTGTGCCTCCAATGCTCCTCTTGAGGCTCAGCCTATCGCGAGCATCCATCATTCTCTTATTATTGCTCAGCTGTGGCGTTACGTTGCCCCTCACACCAAGTCCTTGTACATTAGGGGCAAAGTGCCTCGTGTTCACACCGGCAGGATTGTTGGTGTGTATCTGTATCTGTGGCACGAGTGTCTGGCTCTGTTGCTGGTGCGTTACTGCTGTCTTTTGAATGGTCTGTGCAGGAACACTGAACTGATTCAGCCCCTGTTTACGGGAGTTGATCATCTGACGAGCATCTTGCACTCCCCCTGCTGCTCCTGCTCCTCCTCCTCTTCCGCGTATTTTGAAGCGAGCATCTTTCTGACCCAGCTTTTCTCTGGCATCTTTCACTTGAAACGCTGAGGGGAGACAGGAAGAAGATGGCGACTTAGTATTCATTTCCAAAACATAAACTTCACTACTGATTTTTTACTGAATATCATTTCACCAAAAGGAAGGATCCTGATCAAGTATTTTTATTTGTCTAGGAAATAATAGTGACCCTTACCTGCTGCTGCTCCTGCTCCTCCTCCAAGCCGCTGTCTGACATCATTAACTCCAATCTTCTGCCGGGCATCAAAGCTCTTGCCGATGCCTCCTGCTCCCCGTCCAAACATGGGTCTAAGAGAAAAAAGAAGCTTCTTTAAGTTCATCAATGGTACTCTACTTGTATATATTCTATCCATTAATCTCATATCTTTTAAATATTTTTATATTTACATAGTTTTATGTTTTGTTGGGCACCTCGCCGTCAAAACAAATCCCTTGTATGTGTATAAACATCTTGGCAGTAAATCCAATTCTGACTGGAGTGCTCAGTCAATCAATCGATATTTTTTACGTTCCCAAACAATTATGCAAGTTTTAAATATATTGGGAGTTACACTTACAAAGTAAATTATATTCCTTTAATAATTATTATAGATTTATTTTCCCCCACACACAGTGCAGGAGGAATGCGCTCAATGTTTGCTTATTGGACTTAATTTGAGAATATAATATCTTCTGTTCTTCCTCACACAGTGGATGGACAATATCAAGACGTTCTAAACATGAATGTGGACAAGGCACCACCCTAATATAACCATATTTGTTCAATACGTGGGAGCAAAAACCTGTTTTGCTGCCAACATAAATATTAGCTTGCTGACTAACGTTAGCTAACCTGAAGCCTGGCGAGTGAAGCTACAAACATCAGCAAACTGGTCGCAGGTCCTGAAGTTTCTGCTAGTAAACATGCAAGTTTGGTTAGAAAACGGGAGTTAGTTGAAAAATCAATCATGCTTTCCAAATTTAGCAATGAATGGCTTCAGGCGTAAAGGCCTAACGTTAAGTAGCAGCTACTACTACTAGCCTCGCGTTTACAATGTACTCGCTTCTGGCTGCAATGGGCTAACGTTAGCCTACGCTGGTAAAATAGCTACAAACATCTCTCAATTCTAGTTTAGCTTTTAGAAATGCTACTACACGTTGGCACATCGTTAATGAACGTACGTCCATCAATGCATTGATAGTTTAAATACCGTTTAGCTGGTGCCTTGAGATGAATACCGCGCTGTCGTATCACTTCATCCAAAGAGACGTCTGCCATTTTCTCAAACTGTCTCACAGCGCATGCGTGCATGAGAAGTTTTAGCTGTGGATACGGGAGCCGAAAAGAGTCAGAATGCAAAGTGGCTGTCGGGTGTGATAAGTTTATTTCTTTGATTTCATATGTTTTGTGTCATGATCGTGATATTAACATTTTAAAATACACACTGATGGAATGTTGAAACACACAGACTACACTGATTAAGAAAGTAACCGTTGTCTCGTCACAAACGAATCATCTGTGATCGATTACTCTTGACAAAATGCAACTCCCGTACGTGCCTCGGTACCCATGAGCCTTTGCGCCACATTGTCAAAACAAGTACAGTGATCTTGAGCAACATATATCGTTTACAATCATAAAAACACTGTTTAACATTATATTCACACCAACTATTATTCAAGACACACACGCAACTGTTGGTAGGAACTAAAATGAACTACTGTCAGTGATCTTTGGTTGGCACCGTAGCAGAGAACACCTGGGCACTGTGTCTATGTCGGTCTTCGGCAAACGACTGGTTATGCCTTAAACTGATGAGTAAGGAAAATAACGACGCGGGGTGACGCCCGTGTCCTCGTGCAACTTACGAGATCAATTTTTGAAAGGGTAAAGGTCTGCCTGCAGAGGTGACTTGCCTACTTCGCGAGATGCCTCGTGGGACCAGGACCTTCCCCGACTCCCATAACTGTTAAAAACAAGACGAACTATTATTCGCAAGAAAGAACCGACGTTAGGCGTGATGTGATTAGTAATGGAGAGTAACTGTATTCTGTCACATGGATCTAGCTACACATAGTCTGTATAAAAAGGGTCTACCTCACTATTAGAAACATGTAATATATATAGGGGATTTAACGCAATGCGACAATGTCACAATCAACAGCTTTAAAAGTACAGCACATAAGTTAGTTGAACAACATTTATTTTAAATTTGTAATTTACGGGACTGTTGATTTGTATTGAAATGAAATCCTGAACCCTAATATAATTTAATAAGTTTACATATAAAGCTTAGTTTTTTGTTTGTTACAAATATTTTGCATGCATTTTGCAAACATCAAAACAGGGAAAACTCGAAGTCCCAGAATGCAGTAGGGCAGATCCGAAGTGCTGGGTCGATGTACTCTCGCTGTTCATCGCCGCTGCCTCACGTTGCTGCTGTCGCGCGGATCCGTTAGCAGCAGAGAAGAGAAATGGCTGCAGCTCTGTCCCGTGCTCTCAAACTGCCCGGTAAGATGCGCTACACGCTTTTCATCCACACAGATAGATAGATGAAACATTTCAGCTGACATTTTACTGAAACCATCCTCATGTGTTCGGAGGAGGTGGTCTGCTGCGGCTGCTCTGCTCTCATACACAGTTGATTCATTTGATGCGCTGTCTCTCAGACAGTCAGCATCTGTGTCATGTCGTCCCAGATTAAAGGACGTGTTTTCCAAAGGATGTAGTTTAAGACAGATGTGGGTTTCTGTGTGTGCGGAGGAGCAGCGCATCTTTCCGTTGTCTTCTGCCTTTCAGCTAGCTGCTAGCTAATGTTCAGCCACCATATACTGAGCTGCTGTTGGACAGTAAACAAGCAAAGCGTATTATAAATATTGGCTGAATCCAGGCAAAACATTACACTGTATATATAATAACGGTACACATGAAACAACCAGGGATGTGCACTACTTGTATTATTACAATAGTATTTTTTGTGGTATTTAATAATTTGTTGAGAGGTCTCAAATTATGAGCAGGCTACAATTAGTATATTTATGTTTATATTACTATTTAAAATAATAAAATTAGCCTTATAATCATTATAAGCTGTATTATTATAATTAGTAATAGCAGTAGTGTAAAGATGTTGCAGATGAAATAATAAAACAGTAACTTTACTCTTATTACTGTTTCTGTAATAAGATAAACTACAGTATACAACAGCATGTTGTCCTGTGTTAGCTAACTCTGAGTAATAAGGGACAGTACTACGTCACAAAGCGAAAAGCGCCATTCAGAGTAAAGGAAGGATACATCTATAATATACCAGTACCAGCATAATGTACTAGTATCAATAATATATCAGTAGATTATCACAATACAACGATTACTAAGTCACCTACTCTGACGACTCAGTTGATCCTGACGAGCAGCCTCTGTGTCTCTGCAGGGAAGAAGGGCTCCGAGCTTGGGGAGTACGACCCCCTCACCCAAGCAGACAGCGACGACGACAGCGAAGAGGACGACCTCGTGCTCAACTACCCCCGTAATGGCCTTGGCAGGGACAGCTGCCTCGGCACGGGTCCCTCAAAGGTGCGGGGCGGCAGATCTGGGAGACTTGTGGGGGCCCAAGACGAGGCACAGGAGGACGAGGAGGAAGAAGAGGACGTGTGGAGGGAGCGACTCCCCAGCAAATCCAGACGGGACAGAGACGACATGAAAGGCATGCAGTACTGGAGCAACAGGGACTCGGGCAGGGACAGGGCTGGGGAGACAAGAGGGGGCCCTGGGCCGCTGGGGGGCACTGGGCTCGGGGTTCACAGTACTGATGCGGAAGAAAAGAAGATGAGGATGAAGAATGCTGTCCGGAGTGCGTTCTTCCTGGTGCCGCTGGTCTGCGCCACACTGCTCGTACTGCTGTGTGCGTTCCTGATCCCGTGCCAGAAGGGAGATCTGGAAAAGAGGCTGCAGTGGGAGAGAGCACTGGGAGACGCAGGAGGTACAGAGAGGGTCGCTGCAGCTACATTTCCAGTAGCAAAATAACTGAAGAGTATTTACATTTAGCATGAAATGAAAGTAAGAAAATAAAATACTCTAATAACGCTCACTTTATGAAGACTTACTTGGGAGTCTCTGTTGCTAGACCCGTGTAATTATACCTGATTGTGAGCACCACTCTGTCTACCATGTGTTCGGTTTCAGCATGCGCTACGAACGTGTTGCAGAATGGCACTGTGTCTTTAATGCCTGCACTTTAATCACCAGTATTTTAGAAAACAAACATGGACGACTGAGCCAAGACATGTGATTCAAACATTTACTTCCCCCATTTCCCCCCCTGCTGATTCAAAATATAGGTGGACAAAACACTTTAATACAACCTTATGCAGAAAGTTGTTAAACCGGTCGGTAGACTTTTAGCTCCAGTCAAACACTGACGCACGTCACTCTATTAGTGGATGCCATTCATTTGTTATATATTTTTTTCCGTCCAGGTGTCACTCCACCTGCACTGGCGCTGTGGGACGTCGATGGGGATTCGGTGGAGGATGTGTTTCTGGGTGTTACTGAATGGACCAATGACACCCATCCTACACAAGGAAACAAAAGTATGTGAACAATAATTTGAAAAGGCTTGGCCTGGTTTGTTTCTACCCTGTCAGGTGTTTTATTATAAATACAGGCCTTTGAGATAAGAAGGGAAAGAGTGGTGGAAAAACAGACTTGTCGTGTGCATGTGTCCTCCTGAGCGTTACATGATAGGTAGCTACTGTGCTGAATGATGTAAGAAGACTCTCTCCTGATTTTATCCTGTTTGTCCTGATCCAAAAATTTCAACTTTAATGTCTCCTTCTTTAACCTTTTCTGCTTTTGTGTTTTTCCTGGTTTTATTGATTCACTGCATCTTTCCTTCCACCCAGTTTACAGTGCGGTGGCCCTGTCAGCAGTCAGCGGCCAGGTGCTCTGGAGGAAAGTCATGCGCGAGTCTGTGATGTACATCCAGTGTGGTCTGCAGTACAGCGCCCAGCCCTCACCTGTGGTCCTCCTCATTGGCAAATCCATCCTCATGGCAGTCAATGGCACCACAGGTTAGAAATCAAGCCACTGGCTATGTCTAGTCCACTATTTTTCCCGTGTAGAAGCACTGTACCTGATCGTCTTCGTCTGTTGTCTGGTTGTTCTGAATGCTCATGTGCAAAACAATACAGATATTTGAGCTAAATTTCTCTCAGCCTCCAGCTCCCCATTCAGACAAAAGAGGTAAGCCAATAGGCGGTGGGCGAACTATACTATGGTTTCACTTGTTGGGTTTTTATTTTTTTTCATGGGGGGAACAATAAAGGGTGTTGGGACGAAACTTACCAAAGGGAGTTTGGGCATGGGTGGGACTGCGAAAGTTTTTTTTCCCCCTGATCTCTGAGTTAAAGAGAGTGAAGTTTATTGCACCGCCACGCTTCAGTGGTGACGACAAGAACAGCATGCCTGTTGGTCTCTTTAAAGTGAGTTAGTGATGAGTCATACATCAGTAAATAGCCTGACTCTACAGGTGATCCTTTATGATAAAGACACAGAAAAATAGAAATGCATGGCAAAAGTAGCACCCACTCCAACTTTTCACAAACCATGTATTTAGGGAGCTCACGTCTTATTAAGAGGAGCCTGGCTCCTCCTGGCTCTCCTGTAATTCACACCCTGTCAATAGGTTAAACTCCATGTGAGAAAAGGTCAGTAAAGGTGACCCCCTGTCGCAATGAAATCCATTTAAAACCGAGTCAAAGTGTTCTCCTTTCGCTCCCCAGGGTCGAACTTGTGGTCGGTGCAGCTTAAGAACATTGAATCCCAGGCGGTGTTACTTCCAGACCTCCAGGGTGACTCGGTCCCAGATCTGCTGATAGCCACCCTGCCTGCAGATGAGGTATAGCTATGACAGCCACACCCTTCTCTTCCTCCTGTACACATATATAAAGTTACACCGAGGCACTTAACTTGCACTGCAGCACAACTGCACTGTGTGAAACACAATGATTACACTCTAAAATGACATAGACTGTTTTATCATGTCTACTAGTAGTATACAAATAAAGTCACTTCTTACTATTCTGATAATACTTTGATCTAAAACACTTGATTGTGAGTCTCTTGGTTGTATTTCAGCTGATTTGCTTGAGTGCATCTATTAAGTCCTTTTAATCAAACAATCCAGTTTATAGATTGATAGATATGAATTTCACTCATTCTCTTGTTTATAAAGGGACACACATTTAAGTTGTTTTGAAATTTCACAGCTGCCGACTCTCATATATCCTACAGCTAAATAAAGTTGTGCTTCCGCTGACAGTCTCATAATAGCGTCTATGTTTCATACAATGGTATATTAGTTTGTCATAAGGGATCAAGAGCTGAAAGTCAACACAATGATGTTCCCAGAGCTTTGCATTCAGTGACTACAACCCTATTTCTGCCGTATTCGTTTTCAGTCTTTGGATCTCTCCCTGACCTTGATCTCTGGGCTGACGGGGGCAAAGCTCGGACGTCCCGTGCCTTTCAACCTCACTGGACAAGGAAAGCTGATTGGTCCTTTGCTGCACGAGACACAACTTGAGGCATACTACATCTTATTTGGACTAGGTAAAGGAATCAACCGGCAGTATAGAGGTCTTAACATCACTGTGAAAGGGACTCAGTCACCACGTTTGTCTGCAATAGATACACGACTTTGTGTCATTGCCTTTTTCCTCAGGTAACGTAGAGGCCATCTCTCTGCGTGATATCTACTTTCGTGCCACTGGCAAAATGCCCATAACTGAGGAACTGAGAAGGAAGGATCCAGGATGGGAGGCACTCAAGAAAAGCAATTCCTCCTCCTTCATACACATTTACAGGTACACCTCATTGACTGGCACATGGCTCTATACAGAGGCTTCTGTGTTAAATAATAAATAACCTTTAATCACTTGGTATGACCTGCTACAAGTGGGACTCCTGAATGTCTGTATGAGTGCAGATTTTAGATTTAGGTTAAACTAGGAAATCCTGATTACTGGGGAAACGTGGTCTCCAATTTCCAGGGAAAAAAGATGACAAGGACTTGTTTACTACCGGCTTATTATACAATTTACGACTGATATAAGCCAAAATCACAACTTTGATGTCTTTCTAGAGGATCTGAGCGTGTGGAGTTCCTGCTCCCTCTTGTGGCTGGTTTTGGCAACTACCACAACAGCCTGGACACGCTTTCCAACCTTAAAGCCTCCAAAAGCGACTGGGTGCTGGTGTTTGGATCCAGCAAACTGTCAGTGCTCAGACAGAGGGACATACGTAAAGAATGGACTTTCAACTCGGCTCCCATTCACAGGTGAAGCCCTGCGAATCACTATGTCGCCACCGACTGAGTTACTTTTACATGCCTGTCACTGCCAACAATGCTACTGTTATGACAAGAATACAGAGAATCATCTGAGGTTATCAAAGTTGGCGTGTAGTCAGCTTACAGTCTTATACTTTGAATCAATGTAAGTCATTAATGTACCGCAAATCCCAACATGAAAACACTGTTTAAGCTTTTTAACTGATGAAAACAAAGTAAGTCGTTTGTCAGAATTTTGTGACACTTCCCTAAAATATTTCTTTGCCTGTCACAGCCAACCAGCCCCTGGACACTTCAATGATGATGGGATCCTCGATCTTTTCATCCAGCATTCAGCCAACGGCATCATGCAGGTAAGACAAAGTCAAATTAATGCAAGGGCTCACATGCTGAACAAGAATTTGTGTTAAACTGCTCCTTTTGTTTTGTTTGGCAATACTGTAAAAATAAGATAAAGAGTCTTGAGTCTACAGTTCTGTGCAAAGAGTTTAGGCAGGTGTGGAAACAATGCTGTAAAGTAAGAATGCTTTCAAAAATAGACATGAAAAAAGGTGATATTTATCAATTAACAAAAATACAAAGAGAGTGAACAGAAGAAATACCAAACTCTAAAGTAATGGGTGGTGATGATGCAGTGGATAAGACACATGCCTTTGGTGTGAGAGAGCCGTGTTCAATTCCCCACAGTGACACAGTGAGCAAGACACTTAACCCCTCGTTGCTCCAGAGGCGTGCGACCTCTGACATATATAGCAATTGTAAGTCGCTTTGGATAAAAGCGTCAGTGAAATGAATAAATGTAAATCTAATCAGTATTTGGTAGTATATATCAATTATACCAAACAGGTGCTAACGATCACCAATTCAATGAACTCTCATTAACTGAGACAGAAACAGCTGTGTAGGAGGAATACAACTGGGTGAGGAACAGCCAAACTCAGCTAACAAGGTGAGGCTGTTGAAGACAGAATACTGTCAAAAGCACAGCAACAAGATGCAAGGTAGTTATACGGCATCAACAAGGTCTCTCCCAGGCAGACATTTCAAGGCAGACAGGGGTTTCCAGATGTGCTATCCAAGCTCTTTTGAAAAAGCACAAAGAAACGGGCAACGTTGAGGACCATAGACACAGTGGTTGGCCAAAGAAACTTACTGCAGCAGATGAAAGACAGAACATGCTTATTTCCTTTCACAATCTGAAGATGTCCAGCAGCTCAGAGCTGCAGAAAACAGTGGGTACACCCATCTACTGTCCGGAGAAGTCTGGTCAGAAATGGCCTTTACGGAAGACTTGCGGCCAAAAAGCCAGACCTCTGACACAGAAACAAGGTCAAGCAGCTCAGCTATGCATGAAAACACAGGAACTGGAGTGCAGAAATGGCAGCAGGTGCTCTGAACTAATGAGTCAAGATTTGTCAGTGAAGCAGGGTGGAGGTTCTTTGCATTTCTACAAATGGAGTTGGGGATTTGGTCAGAATCAATGGTCTCCTTGATGCTGAGAAGTACAGGCAGATACTTATTCATCATGCAATAGCATCAGGGAGGCATCTGATTGGCCCCATATTTATTCTGCAACATGACAACGACCCCAATCACACAGCGAAGGTCATTAAGAAGTATCCTCAGCGTGAAGAAGAAGAAGGAGTCCTGGAAGTGATGGTGTGGGCCCCACAGAGCCCCGATCTCAACATCATTGAGTCTGTCTGGGATTACCTGAAGAGAGAGAAGCAACTGGGGCTGATAAATCCACAGAAGGGCTGAGGGTAGGTCTCCATCAACCTACCTGCCGAGTTCCTTAAAAAACTAAGTGCAAGTGTACCTAGAAGAACTGGGGCTGTTTTAAAGGCAAAGGGTCGTCACACCAAATATTGATCTGATTTTCTCCTGTTCACTCACTTTGTATTTTGTTAGTGATAAATATTATATATTAACGTGTCTATTTTTACTTTACAGCAATTCTCCCACACCTACCTAAAACCTTTGCACAGTACTGTATATCTTTAACTAACCTCTATGTTTTGCTCTAACCTAATACCAGTTTCCCCGTCTTCTCCGTCCACTTAGGCCCAGGTTGTTGATGGGGCAAACGGGCATCTTCTCTGGACAGCAGAGTTTGTGTGTCCTCGTCTTGTTTTGGAAACTTCGGCAATCTACACCTCAACTGGCCAATCAGCTTTCCTCTTCTGGGCCAGCGAACCAATCAGGGTGCAGAAGAATGTTACCAAGACAACTGTGAGTCTGCCATAGAGAACAACAAGATCATTAACGCAAAAATTATAATAATAATGTAGAGAATGAGCCTGCTGTGTATGAATTCTGTGCACAGCTTATTTAACATTATTGTCTTGATTATTATTGAGTTTGACCTGAAGGCATTAATGAAATACTCACTAAACTGTCCACACTGCCTGTGTAGGTGGCACCGGGTGTTGCTGCAGCGGAGCCGCTCATTAGAAAACTTTTCCTGTTGCACCCTGCATATCCCACAATCCTGATGGAGCTCACCAGTACCACAGACACCGCAGTCACCTCTGCAGGTAAATGTGCTGTGGCTGCAGAACAGTATTAATACAGATATTTTATTCACAGTGCAAAAGTCAGATTACCAAGCTGTCTTAAAAAGAATTTCAGTTGTAGAGAAAAAGAAATGTAACTTCCTATTTTCTCCTATTTCCTCTCTGACAGTGAGTTACCAGGAGCGCCAGAAAGACGCCATCTACATCACCGTATCCTCCCGACCCACGCCCGATTCGGAGCCCGGCGCTCGGATAGTCAAGAGCATGAGCCTCAGAGCTGCTATCACCAAAGGACAAATTGTCAGACTAGGGGAAAGCAACAAGAGCGGGGAACCCGTTAAACCCGCAGCGTTTGAGGTCAACAAGTTCTTCAGGCGTTTGTCCTTTAAACGTCAGGTAAGAAAGCTGTAAGATACAATCAATCCAATGCAGGTAGCAGAACAGGATAACTTATCTGAGGCTTACATTCAGTAATGAGTACTGTGGGTCAGTTTGATTGCAGTAAGTGATAAATCTCTCTTGACTCTGTTGCTTTGTTTAGTGATGAGCCACCACGCCCTGCGTCACGGGAAGCGGTACAACTTAAAGGACTCACATGAGGACGAAAGGGACAGAGGTTGTGGTTAGCTCTGCACTAAGGAGACACTACAAATTCATTTGAAGCGTGTTTGGTTCACTAAGTATGAATTTCATTTCTGTTACTTTGAGAGACAGGTAGAGATTTTGTTTGTATTGTTTTGGTTTGTACAATGAAAAGGCTTATTTAAATGATTTAACTTGCATTTGGGGAGGTCTTTTAATATTTCATTGAATGTTTATGATTGTTTGGACTTGATAGCAGAAGGATATAACTTTGTACAGTGAAGCACAATAATGCTGATGAAAGGGCATGTAAATGTGTTTACAGTATGCATCACTCATACAACTCTTCAAGAGCCAGTATATTCATGTGGTGTCATCCCTCAGTCACATGCATTTTTTTGTCTGGAAGCCACTAATTGTGTTCTTTCTGCTCACCACTAAGAGACTGTAAATATTTAATACTGTAAATATGTATTGCTTTGCTTTAACGTTTTGATGTTTTTGTTTATTTATGGTGTCAGATTTGTTTGAATATATATATATATATCCAACCAGTTTTTTTTCTTTCTCTCAGAAGGCGTGGCTGCTAAAGGTTATGATATTTAAATGTAAACTGCAACTTCACATATCTCAAGAGAAAGTATGACAGTCAAGTCTTACTGCATCATGTATCACGTGTCGTTTATTTCAACCTTCTTTTTTTTTTCACTGTCTCGAGTTTTGTATTCACTGAAGGCAACACCTGTCAATAATTCTTATTAGAAAAAGAGGGCGGTGTGGTGTTACAGGAGCGCAGGGTGGCGCTGTTGCAGCAAAAAAAAAGAAAAGAAAAAATCCGCATTGCTGCCGTTCTCAAACGCTGTCAACATGGCGTTGGCCCTCGGTCGCCTGGCCTGGCTGTCGGCCCTCAGAAACGCCCGCTCCTCCCTGCTGACCCCCTCCAGCGGGCCGGGGAGGACCGTGACACCGTGCCGGACAGCTGTGTGCACCTCGTCCGGTGCCATTCCGCCCAAACCCAAGAAGGTGAGTGCTGATTTGAAGCTCGGTTATGAAATGAGAGACAGGAGAGACTCGGAGCAGCTCCCCCCTGAGGGAATAGGGTCAAGAGCAGGTTTGTAAGTCGCTGACTTTAATATACACAGCTGCAGTCTTTCTCGTGTGTAAAGCAGAAGTGGAGAAACTGCTTTACATGACCTAACGTAGTTGTTTCTATGGTGGTTATGTGTGACACTTTGGGAGCAGACCCCCTTCGGCCTAATCCGGATCGCTCTGGTCCTGGTGCCCTTCTTGTATGTCGGGACTCTGATCAGCAAGAACTTTGCGGCGCTGCTGGAGGAGCACGACATCTTCGTCCCCGAGGACGATGACGACGACGACTGAGGGGTCTGTAGGCTTCCTGGTTATCAGGTATCGCTGGCATGGATTGTAAGCTTCACTATGAATTGTGGGACACACACAAACTCAGGGGACATTCAGTAACCAAAAGGGGGCTCTTCATCCAGGAAAGTCAACATTGTCATATTAGTATGGTTGCCGATATCGTCTTCATTTATTTATTTTTAATTCATCAGCACTCACGGTCACATTCACTTTCTATTTCCTCCACAGGTCATCTTGTTTTGTCACTACCACTGGGACGAGCCTTATGAGCACATAAATGTCTCCATGGTGTTCCCCCTGCTGTGTGTTTCGCCTCTGCCTGAACTGGATCCAGGGGTTTCGCTGTTATCGATAATGAGATATGGGTGTCTCAGGCCGATCATATCATATACTCTTATTTGCATGCACTACTGAAGTCTTAATAAAGAGAATAATAACTGTAAACTGCAGCACGTTATGTGCAAGTTGGTGGCGTGTTGTGCACTCAAAACAGACATCACACATCAGTCATACAAAGTGCAATGTTGTTTCTATTTTCCCCATATATATATATTTGTATTATTCTAACACTATGAAGAGAATATCAGCCCAGTTAAGGACACAAACTGTCCCAACGCTACTTTTTTCCCCTCTCTCCCTGTTATATTTCTGGCCTTTTAGTCTCATACACACCGGCACCTTCCTTGAGATTCCCAGGCAGAGGTTTGTAGTCAGGGCCCCGAGGCTCTGGAACAGCCTGCCCAAGGAAAACAGGTCGACTGAGTCAGTGAACTCTTTGAAGTCCCTTCTTAAAAAATTATTTTACAGGAGAGCCTTTCCAGATCTTATTTACTCTATTTTATATTTACTTTAAACGTGTATTGTAGTCTCTTAAGTGTTTTCTTGCATTGATCATGTATTTGTTTTTGTGTTTTATTGTCTTTACACTTGTTAAAGCACTTTGTAACTTGTTGTTGAAAAGTGCTCTACAATTTTATTATTTACTTAAAAGAACCACTAATCAAAGAATAATCTTAATAGGAAACTGAATTACAACACACATACACTTGCGTGCCTGCCTTCAGTACAGGATTTCCAAGTTCGTAATACACCCACACCAGTATTTCTTCAACATCATCATAAAGGGACATTTCACTCAAACCTCAATAAATTGCATTCTTCTTCTTAACAAGTGTGCTGTCTATCAATTCAAAAAGGTTTAGTTTGGAGACGTCCACAGAAATCTCTTTTATTAAGGACACTGCTACTCCCATTAACCAAAATGTGTTGTTCAATATGAGCTTTTTTCTATTTAAGTATGTCCACCTGTTGACAATATTGTCCGTGGATTAAGTTTTAGCGTGTTTTTGGTTGAACTGTCCCTTTAAGATAACCCCCCCCCCCAAAAAAACTTTGATTCTGAATAAAAAAGCACAGCCGTAGGCATGTGAGTGTTAAGTATGTATTTACAATAAAGGGGGGCATCCGCCACACTGGACACAAGCAAAGAGGGGTCAGAGGTTAGCAGACAGCTACACAGTTCATGGGTCATGACCCCGGTAGAATTTGGACAGGAAGTCAGTGGGACGAGGTTCCTCAGTCTCGTAGAAATAGCGCATTACGTGGGTCTTCTGCTTCCAGACGTGAATCGTTTCCTCCAGTTCCATTTTCCCCTGGGGATTAAATAACAGAAAGAGAAAATGATTCAACACACAGCACACTGTTGCTCTAAATAACAGCATACCATCTTCATTCATTCAACTGTGATGGGATTTTGGATCCACCAACACTGAGATGAGGTATGAGGCTGCCCATGGACCAGCCTAAAAAGCAGGCTCCAAGGGCCAAATTACTAGTTGCTTCAATCAGTAAATTAAAAACATTATGGTTAATGCAGTTCGTCGATCAGTGAAAGGCTGTATTTACCTTAATGACTAACATGTCAATCACACGGGGGTCAGTGACATGCTTGTTTCTGTCGAACATCTCCCTCACTTTGTCCCTTCCCTGACGGGTTGTGATGTCCAGCTGAAACAATGACACTGTAGAGAAACAGACAAAAACTAACAAGTCACTCTGATTTCCCCCCCAGATCCACTTCATCTAGGAACTAATTTTTAAACATTATTATTTAATTATTTTTGATGCTAAAGGTTAAAACTGGTGTTATTTTACATATTACTTTCACAAAAAGACCAAAACCAGCAGGGCACACTTCATTTCTCAACCACTGAAATAATGTTTATTCATTAATCACTGTTGGGTTTGGTCTGTACATGGGATTTCATACTGGGGGAACACATTTCAACAATCATAGTTAACAGGAGTTCACTCAATGTGTGATTTTAATTTTAAAGTACGAGCCCACAGAGCAGCTGATTAGCATGGAGGAGTGTTGTTCATCTAAATCCAATATCAATACGGTGTTTTCCAACACTCACAGGCAAATGTCAATAACAGTAAGTCTTCATGCAAATGCAGGTGTTACACTCGATATTTCTTCGGAGCTGAAAAATATTGGAAGAAGTCAAAAGTTTTGCAAGGTGTGAAGGATTGTGGTTCATGGTTTTATCATTATTTAATCAGCTTAAATGAAAATATCAACGTTTCTACCAAATGCCGGGGTGTTTATGTTACTGTTTGCTAGCGGCTACGAGGCTCCACATACACACGACCTTGACGCTGGCGCTGCTTTTTATACACCTTTTAACAGCCACAGCGGCCCGACATACCTGTGTTAGGGACCTCTCGGTACCACGCTCGGTACAGTTCCCGGACCCTGCGCTTAGCTTCGTCCAGGTCCCGGCTAAAAATCGGTTTAACAACTTTAGCAGCACCAGCTGCAGCTCGAGTCGCCGCTGTGGACGCCATCTCTGCTGCCGTTACAGCGCTTCCGGTTTTACTTACTCGATGGTATCACGTTGACAAACACTGTGGCGCCCCCTGGACGAACGGCGGGTTCAAGACAGTCACCGACAGTCCCTTAAAATAAGTACTACTTCAGGAAACTTAATACATTTCATTGTTGTTGACAATGATTTAGAGACATTTTGCGCCAAAGTAATCAATGCTGTAGACTAATACTAGTCTGTATTATACTTTCACGTGTTTACAATGTTTTTGTTCATTCAAAAGTGTAAATGAGGTGGACTAAATGTTAGAAATACATTTAAATGTTTTTTTGTTACATCACCACAGTGCACAGCCCCTTAACATCTTACATCAAGTCTGAAAAACATTTTCTGAGTGTTATGTATTTCAGGGATATTGCATTACATTTCATCATAGTTTTTCCTGAATTTCTCAAACTGCAATGCATAATCTTTGAATTGAGTGTTACTGTATTTGTGGAGACTGAATGAATGTGTTCTTCTGTTCTACAGATATACTGTAGGTGTATAGCAACATTGAAATTAAATGAATTATACAGAAGTGTTTCTGTTGAACTTATTTTATTGATTGCAAAAAAGTGTGTATAATTTACAAAGATGATACAGCATCTACAGTACATTAAATATGTAAATATTTTCAAAAGGCAGGTAGTTAAGTCATTTTATCACAATTCATACTGTCAATAAAAAAATTGGCTCATCGATGCAACACCTGTCATTTGTTGTGGTGGTGGCAGCACATAAATGCCGATAATGATCAGGGGTGAGTGGAAGTTTGGAGTTGAAAACTAAAGACAAAGACGTGGGACAACATTCATCAAACAGCTTTTATAAGCATCCCCGCAAGAAAATTGAGCCTGAATTTGCTTCTATACAAAAACAGATCAATTTCCAATCCATCCTATCAGAAATAAGGAACCTTTGCTGTCTTGTCCTGTATAAATCCCAATATAGTTTTTCAGAATTTCATATTCACAAACACAATACTACAGAAGCACACTTGTTTTCCAGGTAAAAACAAAATTTATTACAGCAAATGATAAGCTCCCATTTCTAAAGAAACGTGTGCCATTTTCACAGAGTAAACATGACTCAAAAGCTGTACAACATTTTAAAAAAACAGAGATGACAGTAGCTCTTATGTAACGGTCTAGACCCCTGCTGTCTCAGGCAGAAGACACAGAGGCAATGAGAAGATTATCCAAAAAAAAGCTGATACAGTATGAACTCTTTATCTACAATACCTGATAAAAAAAAATAAGTCACTCAACAGATATTCCAGTTTTCAGACCAAATGGGCACTCATACACGCTTGTACTAAAAGCAGACAAAAGCTATATAATAAAAAATGAAAAGTGCAGTTTTATATATCATGTGTGGCCCAGTGTAATGAAACCAGCTAATAGCTACTCTATACTGCTCATTGGCAGAATGATTGAAAACTAAGGCACTATCGTGGTCCCCACACAGCCGGAACTGTACAACAACCATCTCCTCTGCTTTTCTGCATACCTCTTTGATTCAGTCACCATGTTGCAGGCTCACCTGCAACACAAACACACAAAAAACACACACAGAAAGAATGAATCAAACTCTAGAAATCTCCAGAGACAGTCAATCGTTGGCTGCATTAGTGTGACTTTGCCTATTCTACATCAATCCATACCTGTCACTGTCTGCCAGAGCATCAGTACCAACAGCAGACTCTCAGTGGTCCAGGCTGTTACCCAGCTTCTGCCCCTCCTGCAGAGCAGCCATGGCCAGCCTCAAGTGCTCCTTTAGACTCTGGATCTCTCGTTCGCTCCGGCCCTTCATCACACTCAGCTCCTCGTGCATCTCTGTATATCGCTCACAGGCCAGCCGTTTCTCCTGCGGAGGAAAGAGCGGTACACACTTTCCTCAATCTGCTACTAATCATCTACTACATCAGCTAGCTCTTGGGCCATCTATGTGTGACACTATGAAGGTACAGTATAATACAAAATCAAAGTCATATTCATGTACTTGATAGAAATGATAGGATGAGGATGCTAAGTGCACAAGAGGACCACCTGGGTTGTTTTTGACCACGACACCAACTATATGTATCGGGGGTCTTTTTTATTTAAGGTTGTGTTTCTGTGTGGCTCTGTTGACAATTCTCAACAAAAGGCAGTTAACAAAAGACCAACACACAGACAGACAGACAGACAGAAACACAGTACCGTGCTAAGAAACTGCAGTTCATTCCTTAGGCAGCTGATCTCCTTGTGTAAGTACTCCATCTCATTTTCTTTCACCCTGAGAAGAACCTGGGAGAAAAACAACAAAACAACACAGTGTGGTTGTCATTTGCTGCCAAAAGAAAGAAAGAAAAAAAATAATATATATATATATTTTCTTTTTTACTACCCTAAATCCATATAATTATCACACTGATTTATGATAAACACAGTGGGCGTTGTCTGTCATTTTTATAGTACATAACTTTTACCCAATTACTGTTTATCATGCCATTCCCTTTGTATTCTGAAAACTACAACAGCAGTTTGGTAACCAGAAAGACCATAAATGAGCTGCTACATTTTTGTTTTTTCAGTTTTGCTTTGTAATGACTCTCAGAGTCTGAGGAGTCTGAGTGACATGTCAGTATCATTTGCTTGGACAGCAGGGTGGCTATTTCTGAGACTGATGCACATACTTACATCAAAAATACATCTATTGTTTAGATCAGCATGATTTTAGCACCAATTAAAATGAAATGCAGATGAGCTACACACAGGTTCCTCTGTGCAATCACAGAGTAATCTCAATCCAGTAACAACACAACAATTTTCATTTATCCGCATTAGACATATACACTCACTGGCCACTTTATTATGTAAACCTGTTCAGTTTCTTGTTAAATATAAATAGCTAATCAACCAATCACATGGCAGAAACTCAATGTATTTAGGCATGTCGACGTGGTCAAGACAACTTGCTGAAGTTCAAACTGAGCATCATAATAAGTGACTTTGAATGTGGCATGGTTATTGGTGCCAGACGGGCTGGTCTGAGTATTTCAGAAACTGCTGATCTACTGGGATTTTCACGCACAACCATCTCTAGGGTTTACAGAGAATGCTCTGAAAAAGAGAAAATATCCAGTGAGCAGCAGTTGTGTGGACGAAAATGCCTTGATGACAGAAAGGCAACAGTAACTCAAATAACCACTCGTTACAACCAAGGTATGCAGAATACCATCTCTGAACGCACAACATGTCTAACCTTGAAGCAGATGGGCTACAGCAGCAGAAGACCACACCAGGTACCACTCCTGTCAGCTAAGAACAGGAAACTGAGGCTATAATTCACCAAAATTAGACAATAGAAGATTGGAAAAACGTTGCCTGGTCTGATGAGTCTCGATTTCAGCTGCAACATTCAGATGGTAGACAGAATTTGGCATAAACAACATGAAAGCATGGATCCATCCTGCCTCGTGTCAACGGTTCAGTCTGTTGGTGGTGGTGAAATGGTGTGGGGGATATTTTCTTGGCACACTTTGGGCCCCTTAGTACCAATTAAGCATCATTTTCACATGACAGCCTGCCTGAGTATTGTTGCTGACCATGTCCATCTCACAGTGTACCCATCTTCTGATGGCTAAGGCAGTTCTAAAGGCAAAAGGGGGTCCAACCTGGTACCAGCAAGGTGTACCTAATAAAGTGCCAGTAAATGTACAGCAAAACTGAAATGATCTAACAGTAGCAGGAGTCAGATTAGTCCACTTATGGTTATTGTTGACTTTTGTTGCAATAAAACACCTTTTTGAAAACTTTGTTTAAATTTTTTCAGCTTTTTCCCAGAGACATTTAATGCAGCGGGTGATATTTTCACACCTGTGCACATCTGATAAGTGTGACTGTCAGAAGGAACCAGTTTAAAAAGCTGCAAGACACAGACCTCCGTCATCCACTTTGGCTTTCAAGTAGAGATGCACCGATCGATCGGCCGGTGACTGGAATCAGTGGCATATATCAGATTCTATCAAATTTATATACATGCTGCGGCGATGGATCACGTCATGCGCACAGCGGCACAGACAGTAACAGACTACATTATAACTAAATATTTGGCGACCCACTTTTGCACTTTGCAGAGAAATAGAATGAGAGAGATGTGGTATTACATTAGAAGTCGCGGCCAAGGTGGATATTTTACAAGCACAGAGCAGGTATAGCAACAGTGAACACACCAGTGCCAATGTCTGTCTGTACTGCAGAGGTCTCAATCGTTTCGCTAAGCAACGTCATTAACAACAATCCTCCTTCACACGAGGCTCACCTGCTGCTGTGAAAACAGAATCGCTGGTGAAAAAATCCAAAAACGCCAGTTGTGTTTTTTGGGTGTCTTTATAAACTTTTACTGCTGTGTCAACAGAACAGACATACATTGTAGAGAGAAACTGAGCTAGATAAGTGTAGGCGTCAAAGGAATTTCGAATCGGCAGGTCTCAGCCAGGTCAGATCATCTCATCTACTTTCAAGTATACAGTATAAGAGCCGTTACCTGGAGTTCACAGGGCGTCCCGTCTTTGTTGTCCTCTGACCCCTGATCTGCGATAGCAGATCGCATACGACTGATCTCCTCCTTCAAACGGGCCTTTAAGTCCTGCAGAGACAAATGTTTTGCCTTTATTGAAAGATGACCGTTGGTTGGCACACATTTGCATACAATGGATCACTAGTCTTACATAGCCAGACTACATACTTCGTTATTTACTGTACCAATAAAGAACCTGCAGCATGCCGGTAACCTTTCTTGGCCGGTAACCTTTCTTGGACTTTGGCAGAAAGTTATAGATGCTGTATGCCACCTCTCACCTGTCCCTTATTGTATACACTGTATCAGTGAGGGTCCTAAATCTGAGTATGTGCATCTCAAAACTCTCTAAAATACAACTTTTAAAACTACACAGTCCACAAAGATGTCATGCTATGTTTCATAATTTCCCCTACCAGAGCAACTTCAAGGAGTTAGTTAGACATGAAAGACGTATGAGTACATATTTAGAACCTGCTGATAACTCGCCTGGTTCTCTTTCCTCAGCTGCTCCATTTCTCTCTCCTTGCGGCTGATCTCCCTCTCCCTCTCAGCGTTGCTCTGCTCGGCTTGGTTCAGCTCCAGACACTTCTGGGAGTAGTGCTCAGACAGTCCAGCCAGCTCTCTCTGCAAGGCCTGACTTTCTGTTCTGCAAAAATGGATAGACAACACACAGGGAAAAAAACAAAACAAAAACCTGTTTTCATGTGGGAACTGCATACCGGTAAGTAAGAAAAACACAACGGCAACGCTGCAAGCTCAAAGTATAGACAGAATGTTCTATGTGTATGAGCAGCAAAAAATGTGGAAGGAAGCAATAATAGAAATCTCTTTTAAGAAGTCTTCTTTACCCTCTTTCTACCCCGCACTTAGTGAAGACATCTGAAGTAAAGTAATGTATTATTATTATAATGTAGCACTGACTACATTTAATAACAGCAACATACTGTGAAAAACTATGAGCGAGGTTTTTTTCCATTTTCATGAGGCAAGTATTTCCTACTGTGGTTTTAAAACATCTTTACTGCTCATGACCAACAGCCACAAAAAAAGGGCATGCAATTAGAGAAAAAACGCAGAATAGGCAACATAGATAAGCCCTAAAATACAGGTTCCAGTAGCAGCCACTGAGACAGCGTTGTGTCAAAGGCCTTGTGAAGTTTACAAAGGAAAACTAATCCATGACCAACTTCTTCTACATTCCTTAAGTGCCTGACAGGACCCAGGGGTCGCTGCGGTATTGGCCTTGCTGAGACAAGGAATCCTGGATTGTTGTGGAGTCTACAAATTCAACCTTTTTATTTCACAGAAAACCCTTTTTGTGGCCAACTGGCTCACACTGGAAAAGCACAAGAGGGCTATTCACACAAATGACCAATGTTGGTCTGCACTGGCTGAGACTGAGGGCCAGGCTACAATCAAGAATTCATTTTCAAGGCGATGCGGACTAAAGGCTTACACAAGACAGGGGTGCTTGCTCAACCTGGAAGAGTTTAAGCAGCTTACGTATGCCTTAATATGCTTGTATTACTGCATGCATACAAACTATGTATTTTTAGTGGTTTAGATTGTCACTTAATCAACATGTTTTTTAAAAAATGTTATTTTTTTCTAAAAAGAAGGTTGCAGCTGGTGTCAGTAATGTTATAGATTCTGTCATGCTAACACATTACGAATGGTTGATTGTGTTGCTTGCACGTTTCCTGTGTCCCCCCTACCGGGTGCAAATGTGTCCATCACTACCACACTGGCACAAACAGATTTGGAGTTACTTACTGTTGGTGGGCTCGTAACGTCTGTAGATCTAGCGCCCCACTGCTCAGCCTTTTGACTCTCTCCAGTTCCTCTTTGTGTTTCTTCTTCAAAGCCTCCATTACTGAAACACAAACATACAAGCATGACACAAGCTCTACATGAATTCCTAAAAGAAATCAAGATCAAGTGAGAAAACCAACATCAGAAAAATTTTCAAGATGAATACAAAGCATTTATACAGAATACTTATATATAACATTCAATTTCAATTAGCAGAATCAACATATATGTATATTCTTCGATAAAAATTACATTTCTATAATCCACAGGCATTAAACGTCCTAATATGGAAGTGGAGTGATGGCGCTACAGAGGAGTATAAAAACTCTGCTGGAGATGCTTTTTCTTACAATTTGACAAAAATAATCCAAGACAACGATAACAACCCATTTACAGCTTTAATGATTAATTGTTTAATTGCCAGCTATTAAATTCATCACCACCAATTCTCTGACTCCAGCTTCTTACAGAGGATTCCTGAATCAAACCAATGGGAGTATTATACATTGATGAAATTTTCCAACTGGTCTGGTTTGTGTTCACAAAAGGCAAAAAACTTAAAACAAGTAATTGTGAACAAAAGCCATGTGTGGAAATAGCGTTCAATTATCAGTCATACCATAGGGTAAAATAAAAACCGCTTGAAATATCTATTATAAATACACAGTACTTTGATGTACTATAACTTTCACATGACAGTGCTCAACTGTTCGCTGGAATCCATTTTATCGCTGAATATTTATAATACCTCTGTTTTTTTCTGCCCCTTCTCTAGTAATTTAGAAATGTCCTCTTCCGCCCAAATATTCAGGAGGTATATCACTTCGTTGTGAGTCCAGGTTTGTCCCCTGCTACTGCTAATTTGGTAGCAAAAGCGCTACTAGTTCAGCAGTCACCAACACCAACTTTTTTTTTTTACCCAAAAATTACATAAATTGGTAGCTTCCTGTTATTGGTCTTAATGGTGTTCACACCAGACATGAACCACTCCAGAGTTCTCAGCGGTGGTATCTCAAGGCTTCAAGGCGGAGCAGAGACCTTTTTCCCAACCCAGTTCTACTTCATCATGTGACCCTCTCAATTTAATGGCTCAGTTAAAATCACATTTAGTACTGTAACATTTTTGCCTATCTCAGTAATGACAAGAAAATTGTAATTCTTTTGGTCTTGATTTTCTTCTCTACCGCGCCCACTCTGCTGACCTCGTGCGGTGTCCTGGGTCTCCTCCAGCAGCAGCCTGTCCTTCTCAGACTCTAGCCCCTTGAGCTGGCGCTCGTGCTGCCGCTGCAGCTCCTCCAGCGCCTGTCGATGTGCACGTTCCATGGCTGCCAGGCTGCGGCCGCAGGGGGCCTCAGGGCCACAGCCACCTTTCACACCTCCTCCCCCTCCCCCTCCTCCCTGTAGTTGCGCCAGCTGCTGCCTCAGTGACGCCACCTGAGAAAAAAATAAAGACGGAGGTAAAGCCCACTGAGAGGCTGCGGGTGCGGGACAGCCTATTGATTTAACATGCGATTAGCGTGTTTACATTACATGTCACTAACACTGGTGTTGGCAGTGAAAGACATGAGCTGCAATACAGATTAGGATGTGAAGAAACAGGATGCTTTTGGATAATAGGGATAATTTGTACTAAACTAAATTAATATTTTAGCCAAATTGTCCCACTGCTAACACATGATCACTGGCAGGACCACTGTGCACCAGCTTCAGCCACTGTTTCCCTAATGGAAAGACCAACGATACCAACGTTAGCTCCACTGCTACCTTGGGCAGTGTGCACCCCTCTGATTTTATGGTTGTTGGAGCTCAAAGTTCAAATTATTTGTACTTCAACCCCAATCGCTGCTGACCTTTCAAAGCCTGATTAGATTCAAGCTAAAGAAGAAGCTTAAACACAAAGGAAGCATACGAATTTCATTACATTGTTAAAAATGTAATTCAAGAATAAAATGCACAAAGGTTTCTCTTAAGCATGAATTTAATTCAGCTCTTCTTTATAAAATAAATGAACCGTTTGATGAAATATCAGCGTTCGCCCGGGCTTGTGGTGCAGCAGTCTCCGTATCATGTGTAGACTTAGTGTCAAGAGGCTGCAAACAGGTTCAAACCAAAGAAGCACATCACTGCACACAGAGACAGAAAAGACAGGAGCTTCAGCAATATTTCCCATATCACCATCTGCATTTTTTAAGGCTAGTCATTGATCTTCCACTGCACATTTTAGCCGGAAAATACTGCTGAAGAATGGAAAAGAAAAGCAAAATAGTGACTTGTCTGTTGACAGCGTTCGTGTTAACAGGCAGAAACAGGAAATGTTTACTTCATCCGGACAGATGAAGAGTTAATTTGCACTTTATTTAATTTGCAAATTGGAAAATCATCTCCACGCACTACCTCCCTCTGCAGCGCCTCATTGGCTGACTGGCTGGAAGACCGTGATCCCATTGGCGGTAAGGAGCTCATCTCCTTTAACGGCATGCGCTCAAACTCAGCCCACTTTTTCTCAATTTCTTCCTCTGGGCATAGCCTTTGGTTCGATCCCACGCCAGTGCCCTTCCTGGACAAGACAGCCTCCCACTGGCTGCTTGTGTTCCTCTCCTCCTGCCATTGGCTGTGCTCCCTCCCCTGACCCTCCCCTGCTTCTCTCTGACTGGCTGGGAGAGGGCCGGGGGAGGCAGGAACAGGGGACAGCTCAACATAGTCAAACCTACGCTGGGCAGGAGGGGCAGAGGTCGGAACTGCTGACTGATGGTCGCCAAGGCGTGATGACGGGCGACGGGAAGACAGTGGAAAGCGAGAATGGGAGTTTTCCTTGTCACTGCTGCTGTCAGGTAATCTAAAGAGAAGATCAGAGGCAAATAATTATAAATCAAGGCTATCAAAATAAACAAAACAATCAACACCAAACCACAGTGGGTTCAATCCACAATCCTACGCAAAAAATTGGACACTGGAATTTTCTGCAGGCAGCCTCGTAAGTGAGCTGCTGTGGAACGATGTTAGCGTTCCCCCTTGTGAATTTTGGGGAGGTGGTGAAAAAGTTCATTTTGAGCCCTTAATGTCCTCAGTCACCATTTGTCATTTCTAAATTTTAAAACGTTTCTCCCAAATGACAGCAGATCTAATCTAAAAGCATTACTGGCTAGTGTTAAATTTATATTGTTATATTATAGAGAATAATGCAGTTGAATGACGTCACTTTTGACACAGTCCACCCCACTCTCCTTAAACACGTCACGTTCTGAAACCCCATGTGTTTTTCATCATTAATAATAATAAAAAATTCCATCTCAAACAACAGGTTACTAGCTTAGATAACCATGTATTCCATTGTATGGAATTATGCATTATACTTTTCTTTGTTTTGATATCGGCATTACACATCGACGATCGGCCCCCCTGCTCTCTAAATATCAGCATTGGCCATTAAGAAACCCATATCTATCGACCACTAGTTCAGACAAGCTTACTGTTTGGTTTTTTGTGATGCCATGTATATATGTGCACTTCAAAGATATTGCAGGCAAAGAGGCAGCTCTGTGTCGGACTGTGCATCATTCAGTCGCATTCCATGCTTCTTGCCTTGCTTTCAACAACAACCAGCTCGCTCTGGCCCACGCACTCTCACACAGTGGTAAACATTTCGGCTAGGCGGAATGCCTGCTTCCAAATGCCACGAAAAACATGTATGCAGGAAATTACTAAAATCAAATTCCATACTGCCTGTGATCCCTGTTAATAAATCAAGGTGTGATTTCTTCATCTCCTATTTGATGACCTCAATCACAAATTCCTCAAAGGTTGATAAAACAACTAAATCAACAGCATACACAAAGGCTCAAAATGAACGCTCAAGGCACAGCTGGCAGTGAGTCATTAAGAAAATAGAACCTGAACTGAGCACCGAGCAATTAATGAAACTTTGATTCATCTGCAACAGCCAAAGTATACAGCGACTAAAACTCTTCAGGGGCAAAGTTACCGCTGCATGTGAGTTACAGGGCCTCTTATCTGACTGCATTTAGACAAGGCTGATCTGCAAAACTGAGGCAGCCAGGCTTTAAATGATATAAGAGTTAAAAGGTTCTTCACATAAAATCTCCTCAGATGCTACTTTTTTTAAGGCAGTTGCAGTCAGCCATTACAGTTCATTAAAAAAATAGCAACAAATGACCCTCACAAGCCAAAGCAATGTTTCAAAATGCCAACATACCTCAGTGGGCAATGTGAGGGGAGCTACTTTGGGTATTAAAAAAAAGATAACACTTTGTTTCTATATTAGCTTCTTTTTGCAACTGCTGCATTAAAACTTGTGTATGTAGTTCTTTGGTGGCGATGTAAAACCTTCTTTACACAAAAGTTTCACATTCCTCTCCCCATAACACTAAACACTGTGCACTATTAAAAAAAAAACACTTACACAGTAAGTGAGCTGGGAAGCAGAGAGTAATTAAAAAATATTAAACCATAATATGGAACTGAGAATACCAAGTAACTCCTTGACTTGGGTGAGGTGGGATTAAAATCAATTAGTTATAAAAATGTAATAATAGTGTATTTTTCTGTCAATAAACTAGCACAACTGCTTACATTTACTGTGAGAGCAGGAGAGGTCACAAATGACTGCCTTGTAACTCAAGTGTGAAATGTTATATTATATTTTTGTAATATCTGGAATATATTCAATTTGTACGATGCTTTGAAAACCCACACTCCCAAAGTTACTTATATTTATATTCAAGCTTTTATATTAACAATTCAATTGGCAATTACTGTGTGAGGTCTGGGGAGCTGCTGGGCCGGATAGACTTCTTTAAAACCTCTATCCAATTCCGCCTGATCCCAGCTGTCATGGCAGACAGCGTGAATGCGGCCTCCTGCGTCTGGAGAACAAAAAAAAGGAGAGAATAGGTTACTGGGACAAAGATGTGACAGAACTGGGATGAGATGGAAACGATAAAGGAAAACTAAAATGACAGAGAGAGATACAGGGAAAGAGGAGATAGTGACGGAGATGTGAGTCATGAAAACGGAATGACATGAAAAAAGCAGCAGAAATGGAGAGCGGGTGTGGTTAACGCTGATAAGGAGGACAAGAAGGGATGAAAAACTGAAGAGAAACAATGAGAGAGAGAGTGACCCGTAACAGAGATACTTGCCTGTATTTGAAACCCATAGTTCTTCTCCACATCAAACTCAGACACCTTCACACAGGATTTTAGGTCAATCTCCCCGTCTAAGTCATCTTTCTATACAGAAAACACATGGACACTTTCACAAACTACACAGAAACAGGTTCCATTTCTCCAACATGGTGTTAATAAATAGGGATGCACCGATCCAATTCTGACATCGGATATCAGCCCAATACTGACTCCAACAGCTGGATCAGGTATCGGTGACAAGTGGGACGATCTATTCACTTCAATTACACGAGTACTACATGATGTGCCAGCAGTGCAGCGGTAGACCCGAACATTTTGCTAACAACAAAGTGTCAGACGTTTGGAGATACTTCACGCTTGATCAAGCCGAATGTTGCCTTACACATAAAATAATGAGTCCCAGTCTCTTCCTCACAGTGAGGAATACAGTTTATTCATTTTACGCTGGTACAGGATCGGTACTCTGCATCAGTAGATACACAAGGCCCAGGTATCAGGTGTCAGGACTGAAAAAGTTGGATCGGTGCATCCCTATCCCTATTAATATGTTTGTTTATGATTTAAGTGCTCATCCAAGCTTGTTTTTACCATTATTAGGATTATTACAAAATTTAAAAAAAACGTACCTCCTCTGCACTTGAGTCTCTGTAGTACTTCAGTCCAGCATCAGTCAAAACAAACCAATGCTTCTTCCACTAAAGAAACACAGCAGATCTCAATTAATTAAACTCAATTAAGACTGAACTCAGGTCAGCAACTCTGAGGTTCAATTAGGACAACTATCAAAACGATACAATGACAATATCTGACACAGTAAGCCCAAACAGAGCACCATTACAACTTGATTTTCAGAGGAATTCTGGTCTAAAAGAGCAATGACGACATAGGAAGGCCCCATATTAAAACAGCAGAGCTACAGTACGTGCCAAGTGAGAAGTTCATTCACTCAAGCATATCATTCAAAGAGAGGAGACACATGTTGTGCCTCAAACCACCAAGCTATTACTGCAATAGCGAGGACAATCTCCCGCTATCGGCTTACACAAAACCTTTCTCATTAGGAACGGAGGGAAGAGGTTGGTGCAGGGAGGGGAAGATACGACTTTTGAGAGGAGTACGGCGTTCAGCTTTGCAGCGCCTTACCTCTCCACTCTCGCTCAGTTTGGACATCCATCCCTTTTTGAAGTTTAGGAGGTCCGGCTGTGAGCGAAAGAGCATACAGTGTCATGTTCGCTGACGGTGTTTGACAGAAATGTTTCAAATACAAAACTTGAAGGAACTCAGCAAGTCATTTATTTGTATAGTCCTTCATCATGAGCAAGTCTCAAAGCATTTTACAGAGGAAAAAAAAAGAACTAGAGGAAGTGAATGGGAACAGATGAGAAAAAAATATGACTAGATGTAACAGGACAAAGAACACCACAAGAGCTATCGAAAGGTGGGACATACTAAATATATTTCTATGAATGAAATTAGCTGCAACCACACAACCACAGGCCTTTTCAGTCATTGTACATGAAGAGCCACAAAGGACATAAACCAGTTTCTACGGTAGTTGTGCTTTTCTACTAATGTATGGGGAAACTGGTAAAGTTGGTACTGGTACCACTAAATCTCAAAATCATCTACTGCTTTAATTCAGTTCAAGCACTTGATTATATTGTGATCATTCACAGTGCTCCATGTTGTTGGTACAGTATTTCAACAACATAAAGAGGCAACGATTGCATAAAAAAGACGCATCTGAGGTGTGAAAAATGACAGGAAACAACGAGTACGCCTGTAAAAGATGAGGAGACAAAATATCTGATAAACTCAGATCATATTAGGAACCGGAGCAGCACATCCTTAGTGATGGGAGGTAAGATCTGGAAACTCAAGACATTTGCACTTTTGACATTATGGACTTTTCCGTTTATAACTCAACAATGTTATTATGAAACACTTTGGGCTGAGTGGTAGCAGGAGATACATTAAAACATGTTACTCTACACAATTTTTCCAGGAACAGGCCTGATTTTCGCTTTTGACACGATGACAGGGAGAGGGAGAGGAAAACATGTGCTAGGTACCTCAAGATGTGGTGATCCCAGATTAAGATTAGGCAACTTTTTCCACCATGCATTCCTCGGTTTGCTTATCTCTCTTTCGCTAACTTTCCTCATTCCTTTAAATCTCTTTCTGCGCTCATCATCTCATCTCTCACTGGAGTCTCATTTGACATCTTGTCCTTCTCACTTTTGCAGCTACTTTTTGTTCATTTCATTCCCTTGCTCTCAATTTATTTTTTTTATTTTACCTTTATTTTACCAGGAAGGAGGTCTACAGTCTCTCTTACAAGGGAGTCCTGTATTTCACAAATAAAAACAACTATTTTTCACCCTTAGGTTGAAACAAAACACAATGCAACACACTACAAAATACAAACTTAAATACAATACAAAAAAACTTGTTCTACTCTCTCTGTTTGTGCTATGACACAAAATATCTGTCTCTTTTATCATCTCTAACCTCCCCTTTTCTGTATTTATACTCCCTTCCTGGCTTCAGTTGTGTTCTTGTAAGCCACAGCACTACCCGTCTGTATAAGCCAGTTCATCTATGCTACACATCTTCTTTAATCTAACACATTTTAAGGTCTGGTGACTGTCAATACGCCGTGTAAAGGGATTAGTAGTAGCAGTTAGCAACACCATGTTAAGAAGAAATCGGTGCATTACTAAATTTGAGTCTTATGTTCCATTTGAATTCAATTTCATCATTAATTCATTAATGACAGAGCAAAGTTTTAAAATACCTGTGACTTTTTAATTATTGTATTGTTTATAGTATATAAACACAAACCACAACCAATGGCTGGATCATCAAAAATACAATGGAATAACTTGTTTTGATGACAGCTGCATCTTATAAAATGAAAGTGATTAGGAGGATTAATCACTGGTGACTTGTTCTATCCTCTACATCAAACTGTGTGTGTGCAGAGGAGGGCGAACTACTGGTGCAAGCCAGGATGTGTCCAACCTCATCATAAATTAATGTTATCAGTCAATACATGCCCATAAGCAAAGGGCAGGGAGCAGCCACAGGAGGACAGGGGGCTTCTCCCTGATCAGTGACCTTTCTCGAAAAGGTCAAAGATGGAGGGATGAGGGTCAAACACTGGCCACAGTTTGACATGACATCCACTCGACCTGTCTCCCATCACTATTGAAGGGTACTGTCTGGTGAGCTTTGTCCTTGGGGCCTTTAACAGCATGTGGTTCTCCTCTTCACTTGTTTCTGCTTAGTTAAATAGATTACCTCACTGAACAGGAGTATGCCTAATGACAAGTTGTGATGACAGGTACTGAATTATAATGGTTTAGAGAGCCAATACCTGTAGGTTTTTTTTTTTAAAACAACAAAAAAATGATTTCTTTGCTGTGTCTGTGTGTAAACAGGGGCCGTGTGTCACAGCTGGCTGTAAAAACTAACACCTACAGTACAAGCTGCTGGCTAATGACACTTCCTGCTACTGTAAACAACACAGGGCAAACAGATGAAACTACACCACACCTGCAGACCAGAAGCAACGCTTTAGGCTTGTCACAGGAACAGAAACATAAGTTACAAAGCTTCACTTAGCTTGGTAACGTTACATGGGCGTGCAAAAAAAAAAATAATAATAAGCTGGCGGTAAATTGGAGGCACGTCTGCCCACTTGGCGGTGACGTGCACACCCACTGAATCAAACAAACGCTTATCACAACAGCCCAAGAAGTAGCTTTAGACATTAGCTGGTCTTAAAAACAAAACAATTAAACCAAAAAGAGAAACGTGGACGGCTAGCTCCTGGGCCGGAGTTTGCATAAGTATATATGTTTAGATAATGTGTCTATTGAGGAAGCAGTGACAGGCAGGAAAAACAAACTGCTCTCAAGGTGCAACTTACCGTCATGATAACAGGATCCAGAGAGGGTAAAATAGAGACAAAAGAAAAGCACCGTTACCTCTCGCAAATATAACCCTCCTTGCTCTCAAGTTCACTTCTCTGTTTAGCTAAACCTATCGCGCAAAAACCTTACTATCTCGCAGGACACTGGCTTTATGCGAAAGTTGATAAACCCCCGCCATTCATACCCATGTTAACCTAATCAAGCGAGGCGCCACCGTCCATGGCAGATTTCCTTTATCCAGTCTTAAGGGGAGAGTACATTCGTCCGACTAAACGTTGACTCGCTGTTGGTGTTTAAAAGTAGCCCAATAATTTCACAACTTTCCGACAACTTGCGGGTAGCTCACGACACACTTCTGACTGTCTTTGCTCGCTCCTCTCTCTCTCTCTCTCAACCACTTCCTGGGCGGATCCGCGAAGATCGTTTGAGAAAATAAACCAGCCCTTCCTAACCACACGGTGCTGGCACTGAAACGGGTGTCCTGAACCGGACCTCCAGGGACTGCGGGGGATCCAGTTGGGTCCCCAGCAAACATGGGGTCACGATTAATTGCACCAACAACAGGTTATCATTAGAAGAAAACGGATAAAAACGACTGTTCAATCTGAGGTCTCACTCCCTCCCTCTCTTCGGGACCACACTTCTCTAAAATCTTGGGGATCCTTGACATGGAAAAGTTTGATAAACCCCATCTTTTCTAACATACAGAACAATCTTGATCGGAAATCTTTAGGGCTTGCAAACAAAGTGGCACTCCACCCCCTGCAAAAGCCTCTCTTGGTAGCTATTGGTTTCAGTTCAGGAATTTCAACACATGCCCCAGCAGACCACAATTGACAAAGCTCAGTCAGTCTTATGAAATGCCTGTAGGGTGTTAGGTGAAGTCTATAGACACATGACAACCAGCCCTTAAAAAGATAATTTAAAAAGAGTTTGACCATACTGATATAGATATGCCACCAGGTTAGGGTACCACATGTATAAAAACTTTACAATTATAGACGGTATCAGAGTGAATTTGCAAGCATGTCTAGTAAATATGTAACCTAAAGATACCATATATTTAAATAGACTCAACTGCAATAAACCTGCATTGAACCATGTGTGCTGCAAGTGCATTATGTTCATTACAAATATTAGTGATGACAGAAAAATCAACTGTAACGTCACCCTCCACATGACACAGTGGGAGAGAGGTTGTTTCTGCATACATATAAGAGAACACACATTCGCTGTAAACGGACAGGCTCTATCACATACCTGCATTTGTTCGGATCTGTGCTGGTTACCTTTCCATGAACTGCCGTCATCCGCTGTGGGACTGCCAGACCTCTGGAAAGGAACAGCTTGTAGTTATGAATATAACCACTGGTGTGACTGGGCAAACATAGAAACCTCCAGAGTTTCACATCCAGACGTTTTCAAATCATTCAAGTCACATCAAGTGTTGCAGGTGAAAACCACAGAGCGCAAGACGCAATTCCACTGCAGTGGATTAATAATGTGCATGGGGAAAAGGTGCTTAATGCAGTGCACATGCCACTGTAGGGTTTTAATGCTCAATTCCCAGCAACTTCTATACTGTTGCCACTCTCTCTGCTCCCAGTCCTGTCTCTTGATGCTTTGAGATCTCAAACATCCAATAAGGGTCTTTTGCAAAGTATTACCAGTTTTGCTAAATGTGATATTCTCCCAGTGATGTTTAGTTTTATCAAGGCTACTCTAATAGAACCAGTTTTAAAGCTAAAATCCAGAAATTAAGTTAAAAAAAACTCTTAATATATAAATAAATAAAAGTCTCCCTCAACCTAGGCAGCCTACCTGCAATGAGTTGGAGGAGTGAGCTCGAGATAGATACCCGCCGCCTCCATAGTGCAAGTCTCTCTCAGTGTCCCCTGTATCTTCCCACTCTCTGGAGGGATGCTTACTCAGGGAGTGGCTGAAACAGTGTGAATGGGTTATCAGTGTGTCTGATTTGGTCAAATGTATCCAATCTGATGATGTGGAAGAAGCAAAGCTATCTACATTTATCATAAAAGGGTTTGTGATCAACACCATTAAAAACCATGAAAATACATGTAATTGGCCTATTTCACAATGTAATGTTGACTTTTGTGCATGGGGTTTAAAATTTTTTGACAACTACTCTTCCATTCTGCGTGGTTCAATGTGAGTCTGACCTGGCTGGTTTAAAGAGCTCCTGTCTCCGAGAGGACTGCTGGTTCTGGGGCCGCCCCATGTGGCCCGGCTCTTCTCTCTGATGGATCATTTTGACCTTTGGCACGTCGGCCATCATGGCATACTCCTCCTTGTTCCGCCCTGTGGACCCCACCGACAGTTGTCCCGACTCTAAAGACTCCATGGAACTCTGGGATGAGGTGTGCCTCCGCAACTGAATCTGAGGTGAAGGAGAAGGGCTCCGTGCACGTTGGGAGGGCCTCTTGTCATTAACGGAGGGGCAGCGATCCTCATGAACATATCTACCAGCCCCAGATCTGATGCTGCCGGGGCTCCTGGGTGTTTCCAAGGTGACAAAAGCTGTTTTGCTGCCATTTGTGGTCTGTCTAGAAGGTGAAGCAGAACGAGATAATGAGGAGTTGCGGAGGGGTTGAGATGGTTCCCGGTAGGACAATGGTGAGCGACTGGAGTCAGATTTCGAGTTGTGGTCATTAGGGGAGGGGCAGCGATCCTCATGAACATGTCTACCAACATCAGATCTATTGCTGCTGGGGGTCCTGGGTGTTTCTAAAGTGACAAAAGCAGTTCTGCTGCCATGTGCGGTGTGTCTAGAGGGTGAAGCAGCACGGGATAATGAGGAGCTGCGGGGGGAATAAGTAGACTCCCTGTAGGAGTATTGTGAGCGACTGGAATCCGATTTTGAGTTGTGGTAAGTGTTTTTTCTCTGAAAGGGATGGCTGGAATCTCCATTAGTAGCATTTCTGAGGATTGAACAGCCTGGCTGGTCACTGTTGCCTTTTCTAGAGGGAGAAGAGTTACGGCTGTTGTGATTCTTGTTGTAAAGGCAGCTGCTTGTTTCTGTTTTCCGCGGTGACCGCTGTTCAGAATAATCATAGCTTTTCCTTGACGGCAACAAACTGTGGCTATCAGGACTTCTAACAGAACTGTTTATTTCAGACTTGCGGAGCAGAGACTGAGAAGGAGCTTCATAGCTTTTCCTGGAAGGAGAGGAGTTACGACTTTCATGACTATGGCTATGTAATGATCCACTGGTGTCTGTTTTCCTAAGTTGATACTGTGTAGGGGTTTCATAGCCTCTCCTTCCAAGAGAACGGCTGTCAATGACAGGGCTGGATTCAGTCTTACGGAGCACAGATTTACTTGTGTCATAACCTCGTCTGGATGGAGACGCAGTTGGGCTTTCATATTCTTGGTCTTTTACTCCATTCCTAGCTGTTGGGTTTCGTAGCAGAGCCTGGCTTTCAATATCGTAGCCTTCTCTTATGGGGGAGCCACAGCGTCCATGGTGACTATGTCCACTTAGAGACATAATTGATTCAGATTTACGAAGGAGGGATTGGCTAGACGAGCTGTAGTTTCTCCTTGGCGGTGAGCAACTGTGACTGTCACGCAGACTAGTAGAAGTTCTCCTAGACGGAGACAAATTGCGACTGTCCAGAAAACGTAGATTAGATGAACTGCTGGAGATTTCAGTTTTGCGAAGAGACATTTGGCCTGGAGGATTATAGTCCCTCCTTGTGGGAGATGAGCTTCTGCTGTCACGACCGCGACCACTCAAAGACCCACTTACTTCTGTTTTCCTCAAGGCACTCCTAAAATCAGACATGGTTCTGGGCTGGGATCTGACTGAACTGGATAACGATTTAAAGTTTCTTGGCAGAGTTCCTGACTCAACACGTCGCCCCTGTGTGCTTTGCAAGGAGTTTCTGGATTCTGGCTCCATCCCTCGAGACCACCCTCCACCATCAAAGTTATGCTTGCTAAGGGATGCAGTTGACTCGCTGCGTCTGAAGGGTAAGTTTCCATGGGAGGGAGAAGAAGAGCGAGATTGCAGAGTCTTGCCTTGCCTTGGGGAATCAAAACGTCCTGACTGCTGATGGGAAGGGACGTGAGAAGGGTTTCCCCGGCCATATGAACTGCTGAAACCTTTTCGTCCAGTTGACGCCAGCGATTCCGCTATTTTAAAAGGAGTAGGACTCGGAGAGCGGGGGCCGACTTGTGCCTCAACCTCAATGGCAACTTCATAGGGGTCAGGAGGTGGGATTTCCACTGGCGGGTCCTCATTTAGAGCCTCCAGTATCTGCCTTTCAGAGGCCACGCCAAGATTAGGGTTTCTAAAGGGGACGGTGTCTTTGGGCTCTATGGTTCTGCTACTGAAGATGGGATGTCCTCTCTCAAAATGGCGGAAAGAAGCAGGCGGGCTGTTATCACGGAGTGAACGGGCACCCGCTGCCCTCCCCAGGGAGAAGTAGCCACTTTCACGTTTCTCTCTGTCTTCTTTTGACCCTGGAAGAAACAGTGTGACAGAAATAGAAAGAAGGAGGGGTAACAGAAACTACTGAGCAGCTACCAGAGGTTTCCTGAACCAAACCGAGCTATATTGTATTACTGATAATTGCTCTTGGACACCTCAGCTGGTGACATCAAACAGTATTGCCAAGTAAAGAACACCTTTGGCGGTAACTGGATATGGAATTGGTCAAGTCATGGGTTTACTGAAGGCTTGGTCTACTGGTGCACAGAACTCACACTTAGAACTTCACGTATTCAAGGAAGAGATCAGGTGATCCTGTTTGATTTCTCCTTCTCCTTACTATGCCTCTACTAAGTTGTGCATCTTTTCCAACTCTTTCCAATGTATCTGCCAAGAAATTTACAAAACAGCCAACAAACGTAACAATATACGAGGCCAGCTTTCACGTACCTGATTGACTACTGAATCTGTCTCTGCTCCGAGCTTCGTCCATCCAGGCCCGAGGGTTGGCCCGATGGGGTGGAGGGTCGAGCCGTGTCATGCCGAGTTTGGTTGAACGGCGATGGATCGGCAGGTATTCGTCCTCTGTACTGACGGAGCCACTGAACTCTTGGTAGTCACTGTGGTCACGACAGCTACGTGGAAGATGAGATGGGAGAAGAATGACGAGAGTAGAGATGGGAAGGTGACAGATTGAGAGTGTGGAGGGCAAAGGAGGAGGGGAGAAAAGCAAGAGGCAAAAGAAGGAAGATAGAGAACAACTAAATCAGTACAATATGAATTTTATAGATTGCAAGTGCATCATGTAAAATTGTAGGTCAGAAAACATGATGAACAAAACTGATGAGTGAATATACGACTACAGACAACAAACAGAGTCTGTATTTTTAATTGATTATACACTACGGTGGTGACAACCTACTAAAATTATACAGTAAAGTCTTTCCAGCGCTCCTAAATTACTTATTACCACCATCCAGTCTGCGTACCTGTCAGTGCTGTCGTCGTCGTCGCCGTCACAGATATAAAGCTCACATTCAGGGCTCAGGATGCACAAAGAGCTCTCCTCATAACCCAGACGGCCTCCATTGACATCACAGTAGCTGCTCACCACCGACAGACCATCAGAATCCTCCTGATAGGATGACAAGGTAAGACTCGGGCCAATCACAACGTCGCAGCACACTATCTCTCTTCAAGTCACATAGAAAGGAGGACCTGATGTCACTCTTGTCAATTGCTGTCTCTCCAAACAAAGGCAATGCTTAAGTACACGGTAACTTTAAATGAGAGCAAGAAAGCACATACTTTAAAATCCTAGATCTCTCTGTCTGGCTCCATCTCCTTAAGTAGAAGGTTAGCTGAATAGTGTCTGTCCTCTCTGTCCTCTCTGACACACACACATGTTCGGCCTGCTGTTCGATTAGGGTTACACCTCTGTAACTCGACCTGCCTGTGGCTTTTCCTCATTAATATTTCATCACAGTTTTTCTTGCCATAAACCCTTCTCTTAAAATAGATTGTCTTAAAAAGAGTCTAAAACTGTCTGTAAATGTCAGAAATTGGGAGTGATCTCTAAAACTTCCATGAAACTACAGGTAAGGTATTACCAAGGAACTATAGTGGTATGATTCGACATACATAATGGGCTGAGGTAAATCACTGTCATGAGACAGCTGCAGTTATGTCATGGAAGCAGGATAAAGAGAAACCAGAACAGTTGTGACAGTTTTAGTAGAGTATGGATGTATCCCCATCCTTTCTGTACGTTGTCCCAATGTCTAATATTACAAGTGATTCCCAAGAGGGCAGTAAGTGATCCAGCTTCGTTAATTTATAATAGGAGCCACTGCTGCCGCCCTGCTCCTCGTTGTAACCTCTTATTCTCCATCTCTGGCGTTTTCTTAATCTATTCACAAGCAGCAAAGACACATACATGATCTCAATAACTTTGTTTACATGTTGACTGCATTGAACTTAATTAGAATGTCTTCTGTCCAAGAAAATACTTACCTAAATAGATTATTTTCTATTTTAAATTATACCATGAAAATGTGTGCATTCTTTCTGATCTGCAAGACAGTTAAAGCTGAGTCAAGCAATGCAGTAGCCCATCATCCTGTTTCCCTTGATTTAACATCTGATCTCAGTGTCTTGGTGACTTCACCTTTGACCTCTAATACTCTCACCTTTCTGTCTTTCTCCAGGTCCAGCTAATCCCATCACTTAGCACATATTCTGCTCTTGTTCTCATCTCTACCCTGTTACCCAGCTGCTCTGTTCATCTCCCTCCCTCTTCCTTTCTGACCCTCTCTTCCTCCTTACCTTGCTGCTGGTGTCTCTTTCCTCTGTCTGGGATGTGATCGGTGTTAACAACACTCCTTTGCCTGATCCAATCCCAGTGTCAATTCCAGTGCAAGTCACAGTTTTGAGCCCAGTCCCAGTCTCTGCTGTGGATTTCTGCTGTGGTGCTGCCTCTGCGCTCTCCCCTGCACCAGCGTGCAGGTGCTTCTGGCGCAGGCAGTCGTGGCAGCGGGAGGGGTCAAAGATGTTGGGCTGGAACTTTGGGCAGATGGGCTCATCGCCGGAGAGGGGCATGGTGGGTCCGGAGGGGAAACATGCACAATCATTGCATCTCACAGAGAAAACTGTTAAAGAGCAGCATGGAGCAGCATCCCAGTGAAATATAAAACAAACAGTATTAACACAAACAACACTTCTGAGTATAAATTGAGGACTACTGCGGTGACTTAAACATTAGAAATGTGTGTTGCACTTATAAAATCACTTTAAAAGTATAGCAGTGTTGTGTGCTGATGCAAAGAGACATGGTGAATGAAATAAAGCAAGACTATAAAGACTATAAATGAAAGAAAAGGCAAGACTATAGTTTTCTTGAGAATAAAAAAACCCTATATGCTGTTGAGTCTGGTTATCTGGAGGCAGGTGTAAGCAGAGAGCAGCTGCATCAGAATAAATACTAAAGTGGGTCTTTTATTTCATGGTTCATGCAAGATCTAAAGCGGAACTGTTAAGGTAGGTGATAACTTATCACGCTAGAGGACAGTGAAACACAATCCAGTCCGATTACTGAAAGTTCCCCACAGAGTAGCATTACTACCAACCATAAGGCACATGCAGTTTAACTTAACTGCTTTTACAAGCACCACAGCCTCTATTAATGAAGTAAATGAACCCATTAGGACAGTAAACAGTAAGATAATTAAAATAGTAGAAATATTTTATGATGGCTTTAATATAAAAACGATTAAGAGAATTGATGAGCATTACCTGACGAGAGTCTCCCACTGTCAACTCCACTTTGAATTTGTCATTAGGAGTCCGAGGATAAACTGCCCATCAGACCCCCATCAGGCACATACCTCCTCTTCCCCATGCTCTCTATCCTCCTGAGCTGCCAAACCCTCAAATCAACCCCATTGGCTGTTCTGACAATGAGTGAAACTGAAGCACCCATGACAGCCATGGTGGCTCTCTGTCAACACAGCAGAGACCCTGAAGCATAGACAGACCTAGAGCCAACATGGAGCCAGTGGCTGGCCGGTTCCTCTATTGAGCGATTGTATTAAATATCATGGGCTTTAGAAAGCGAAATGAAACGCTCATGCTAGTGGCAGCTGGCACACGCTGGCTCAGGTTAACGTAAATAAATAAACACTGGTGAGATGGGGGGTTAATATACATTGAAACCATTGGTTGTGTGGTATGTGTTTCTTGAACAGGGAAAATGGCGCTGTTGGAGACACCGCAGCTGGTTCTTTTAGATCACACACACAGGTAATACTGAGCTATGAGGAAACACAGAGCTAAGGGTTGATTTCCTGATGCTCTGGAGAGGATGTTGACAATGGCTTTAGATTTCCTATAAAACAATGGCAAGAAAAAAAAATCCACACAGAGCACACTGACAGTTTATGAGATGTGGTTAAAGCACAAGGTCACTCATTAGCAAGATTAATCTTTTATTCAATGAAAATAAAGGCAAATACATTACAGTTTGTATACGTTTAAGAAGTAACACTACAAAAACACTTTTGCTTTGAAAAATGTATAAATTTGAGACAGGATTTCAAGAGGCAGGTGCTGTGGAAATAGTGAGGGATGTCCAGTCACTAAGCGTCCACGTCAGCTTGTGTTAATTTTACAAACATCCTGCTCAAAAACAGGGGCATAATTCCTCCAAATTCTGTGGGAAATTAATTCTCTATACAGTTCAAACTCCATATTATATTTGTTCTCTTGTTCATCTTTCGTCCCGATAATGCACCCTTTTCCCAGTCTGTCGACGTCTCTGCGACTTAGTGGTCCTTCCGGCTCTGTTTTTACTCGTTGTGACACCAGGTCTCTTGTCTGTCTGACGGCCTCGTCCTCCTCGGCCTTCCTGCTTCCCTTTCCTCTTCCGCTTGGTAGTGTAATTGTTGAGCGACGCAGTTAGGGAGCGGATCCTGCAGCAGCAGGGGGGAGAAAAAAAAAAAAAGAAATGCAGCTGGACTGAGAGGGGCTGGAGGATGAAGGAACATCTGAAGAAAGCTGTTATTAGCACATTTAGCACTATTTCATCAACCATTTTCCCTATGAAATGGTAAAAAATACCTACTGACAAGTTGTCAAAGCTGTGGTGCCTGACCAAAAGTCAAAGTACAAAAAGTACTGAATTGATGACAAACTTGCCACTCTTACTGACGCTCATGTGCAGAAACCTGCATGATGAACAGCTTACTTTTTGTTGATGATTGGACACCCAGCTTTTCTTGGCATTGCACTTGTTTTCTCCTCCTCTTCATCCCCCTTTTCTTCATCCACGCCCTCCCCTGGAACCTTGAAAGCAAAGATTCTCAGTGTTAATGGACTTTTATTGCCGCCACCAGTATCATATCATTCTTCCACAGTAAGTGAAGTATATTTACTTTCCATGTGTCCATATAGAGGCAATACAAGCGGCATAATTTAGCCTCATAAAGAACGCCCAAGGACGCTGTTAAGATGAATCGAGCCTTAGCTGTTTACCTGATTTGCTGCAGGTCCAAGTAGGTGAGCCCCTGTGAGGTCCAGATCACTGATGGTTGTCACAGTGACGGTGTGGTTGGGGTGATCATACTGCACAGACTCTGCAGTACTTGTTATCATATCTTCCAGATCATCTTCAGCTGCAGCTGAGAGATGGGATCAAAGTAGGCAAAAAAAAACAATAAGCACAGAATCTGAAGTCTAACAAATCAGTAAAATGACCAAAAGACTTTTGCTTTTAACTCACCAAGTGCTTCCTTCCTCTCCTTCAGCATTTTAATGTATTCCTTATGTCTCTGCAAGCAGACAGTCAAACATAACACCAGTACATCCTTTCCTTATGTGCTCACGCACACCAAAAACAGATTTTAACTCTGCGCTCTTTTACTTCAGACTTACTTCTTCTCGGACTCTGATCTGCTCTTCCTTGATTTTCTTTCGAATTTCTGCCACTGCTGCCTTCCTCCTTTCCACCTTTCGCTTATGGAAACCAGTTAAATAGTCCCTGACAGGGCAGAAGAGACACTTAGAAAAACAGCTGCCTTTTTATAATAAATATTATTATTATATTATTATATAATATATTAAAAACTCTGCTTTACTATTCAAATTAACATCTTGATGAGTAAGGGTTTTGTTTTAGGTTTGTTATATGGTGAATTACTCAAATGAAAACAAATCAAGAAATAGAAATACCACAATTCTTATAAATGTTTATGTAGTAACGTTAGTAGTTAGTGAAGAAGTGAATAAATAACTTAATGTTAGCAGAAGCATTGTGAAGTTTTGGAAAATCAATTATAATTTACAGAACGGTACTGTTGAAGCTGGTTTGGTTTTATTCTGTCATATAAACAACCTACGCCTGATAACACACATTGTCGATAACGTGTAATATTTTTCAAATCTATAAAAAGCTAATGATAAACCGACAGCTGATAACTTTAGTCAGTGACGGCTAACGCTAAGATGCTAGCTAACATCTGTTATCAGTAGATAAACTTACTGTCTTTCTTTGTCGTCGAACATGACGATGCACTTGTTTTCTCTTTTCTTGGATCCTGGCTTGAATTTAGACTTGTTGGACACATTTTTGTGCTTTTTTGTATTTTTCATGTTGTACACGTGAGTTTACCCAACAATACTTCCGGCTTGTCGTATTTAGGAGTACGTCATTTAACTTGGTCCGACTAGACGCACGTAGAAAATATCCTGAAACGTTCCGCCCGCCCTAAACATGGTGATATTGTTGGTGCAGACAGATATTCAGACTGTACAGTGAGTGTAATCACATCTCACCTGAAATAAATGCCCTTGTTTTAGGAGCTGCTATTATTGCTCTATCTAAATGAATCTATCTAAACAGAATTTTCTGTCGATTATGTATTTAATATCAGGTAATATTATCTTATTGAGACATTAATGATAATAAATATGATACCATTTCAAATAAGTTTACATGATTTGTATTTTGTTAAACATGACATGATGACTGCCTGTAACTGTTAGTATTATATTGTTTCACGTTGCACTTTATAATATTTTCTAATTTGGTCTTGACTCCTCTGATACACCTTTGTGGTGATCAGCAAGGTAGTTTGAGAGGGGAAATATTTTCTTTCTTGCAGTTATTGTATGTAGGGTTTCCCCCTTAGAAGCTGATAAAGTGGTAGCACCCACATGTTTACAGCATGTTATTTCATGTTATCTTAAGAGGTTAAAATTTGGTGTGTTTACAAGGTGTTTTATATCATCATACCATTCCCTGCTCCCAGGAGGAAATCTTTCTCTGCTAATTAGATCCCCCAATTACAGTAGCATTTTTAGTCACATTCAAGGATAGAGTTTAGTAGAGACATGTCTCTACCAGTATCCAGCAACTTCTGAATTGTCCACTGCTATTAATTTGATGAAAACAATGAAATATAACCACTGTTATCCATCAGTGTCAATGTATTTGGCATAGACTGTGGTATTTGGTACACAATAACAGCTCTTGTTCTCTACTACGAGTCCTACGCATTTTTTAAGTTTTGAAATTGTCCTCCACCCTGTAATCGCAGTCTACCTTTTTCAGACAGTGACTTTATTTGAAAAGATTTTTCCTGCTGGGTCCCCACACCCCCAGTGGCAGGGACTCGTTATGTATCAAGAGATGTCCCCTCACTCTGCGAAATGCTGTGAGTGTGTTATTTCTGAGGTGTCCAGTGTTCATCACTGAGCGTGTGAAAGATGAAACCTGTACACTTCACACTGCCGTCTGTATCAGATTTATACTAACGTTCAGAGGAAACATGAAATGTTATCTTCTGTTTCTGTGTTTCTATTTGTACATCCACAACCTGTATGAAACTTTTACCACTGAAAGATTATATACACCAAGGGCTGTCATGTGTTGTTTTATTATAAAAACAAACATCAAAATGAACATTCAGACAATAAAACACATCAAGGGGAAAGGGGGGGAAAAAACAATTGTAACATAATAATAATAATAATAATAGCTAAAACTCCAGCCTGCCGATGGCTGGTTGAGCATTGTTTTCCTCTTTACACATTTGACTAGCCAGGAAACATCCAAACTGATAACTTTTTTCAAGACTTCCTAACTTAAATGTTGGGTTGACCTGGAAGACTTCTGGACATTTCTAATGGCACACTTGTGTGCTTGCTTCTATTTTAAAAAAGAGCAAAGAAATCACAGCATTAGTGATTCCAAAATATCAGGCAAATTATTTAAATGCCGGCTTTACTTCCTCAATAAAATACACAACATTTTCCTCTTAAGAGACAGTTTCTGACCCTAGGCTGCTTTTATCCATATAAAACAATAACAATGACATAACTGCAAAACTGCTCTCACTTTCGCCCCCAAAAGCATTTATATTAATATTACATTGCATAACCATTAAATAAGATAATCAGAGCACAGAAATAGGTATGACATAAGTGTTGCATGATGAATAAGTCAACCATTACAAAATAAAAAGCAAATTGGACAAAAATTTCACAAAGATACAACGCCTCCATCATTTCAAATATGATGAAAAATAATAAAATAATGTTTTATATAACATTGAGGGCTTTTTGCTTGAGAGCTTTACATCATTGGTGGACATCACTTCCAAGATAAACCTCACTGTTTTCAGACCATTTTCACTTTCAAGTGTTAGTAACTGACATTCTGTGCCTGCAGGCTCAAAAGGAAGCTTACAGCAGGAACTTTTCTGGATGTTTTGATACTTATTTTCTGCTGTGAAAATCATCATGAATTCAAACTGACCACAGTTGTTGTTCTGCATAAGTGACTTTTGTCTTAAAGCCACCATGCAAGCAGCAGCAGGAGAGTGTTTGATATTAAGGGTGACCTTAAAGGTGACCTTGTTCTCCCAGTAGGAGCTTCTGACCATCAGATCCAGACTCTTGACAGGAAACCATTACGAGCCAACTATGACATGTTAACAGTGCTTTCTTCGATGCGTCTCCTCTCAAGCAGTGGGTAAGGACTTCCTGATTAATCTACTTTTGTTTATCTGCCTATGTACAACCTATATACAATCACATTGTGAGTTTGTATGCAATTACTTTAACATGTTCTATGTTTATGCATCTGTGTGAGTGTGTGTCTAGGTAGGCATTTTCAAAACGTATGATTGGCTGCTTCCCTCTGTTATTTAGATATTCCCCAAATCCAATTATTTCCCCTGTTTCGTCAGCAGTGGCTAGCTGTCTGTCATTCTTGCAGTTTCTGCACCAGAAAGTCAAATTGCTAAAATAATGTACCGATGCAGTCTAAATTAAGCCAGGGTTCATTAGAATGACACTGCACTAGATTGAAGCACTGCATCAAACGGTCACTTATTTTAAACTGATGTGGTGCTTGAGTATCATATTTTGCTCCACAGTACAATGCTGGCATTGTACAGTGTATGAGGTAGATAAGGAGAGACACTACTCAGCACTGTATGGTTAGAAGCAAGCTAGCCTGTTTGTCTGCGTCCTACAGCCCAGCCATGCTTAACAGACCGCAGCTGTCTACTCGAGTACTCTGAAGCCCTTAATTGAAGCTTGCAAGTTTAATGAGACATTACAGTTATTGTAGCACTCACATTGCCGTGTTTCAATAATGATTGTACAGCTTGGTATCCTACAGCTAATCAATGCACTGCAGCATTGCATTAATTTAAAACAGCTATTAGATAATGGTCCCTTTTCCCTTTGGGGCCTATTTAACCTGATTTTCCTTGTTGAGTAGCATTGTTTAAAATGAGGCAGTTAGCCAGCGTTGTACCATTAATGACCAGGAGGTGGCATGATTGTGCTGTGAAACTGAGCATGATAGGAGTTAATATCTAGCCTTCCAGTGTTTCAGCTGCAGTGTGGATACAGGGCATGACAGTAAAAATCATCTGTCTGTGTGTGAGATAAGTGTGGCAGTTTGAAGAAAAGTCTTTATATTCATGGACCTTGAGTATGAGGGAGTTATTATGAAATTAAATGTTGTTTGTGGATGAGTAGCCTGGTTTACATCTTTGTATGTATGATGGCAAAATACAGAGTTAACTTTTTTATTATAACGTGAGTAGCCCCAGTCTGTCCGTGTTTGATCTACCAGTGTGTGTGGCAGCGGTGGTTCAGGAGGCAGCGATGGTCGTGCCACCGCTGAGGCGCAGCAGGATCTGCTGACAGTCTTGCAGAGAGCGACGGTCTCCCACCCGCTCCAAGGTGCGCTTGGCCTCGGCCAGCAGGCGGGCACGGTGTCCGGGTGGGGTTAACAGCGGCATGGGCAGGTGGCGGCACGCCAGCAAGATGGCATGAGCCCTTTCCCTCTCACCCAGGACGCACTCACCTTCTGACAGCAGCACGGGGGAGGAGGAAAAGAAGAAGAAAAGTGCAGATTAGTGTACACTGCCTTATAGCGTGCGTGTGTGAGAGTACAGGGTGATGTTACGCTCTAGGACTGTTTCAAGTCAGTTTATCTATTTTGCCGTGTTGGGAAAGAAGAAGTTGAACAAAGACACCACGGCAAAATCCCTCTTGTCTGTTAAATCACACTTGAGCGTGAGATTTAAGCTGAATCCAAATCCTGGATTCCTACTGAAAGAGCAACAAGGGAGCCTCCTTTGGCACCGCCATGACGTCACCAAACCCATAAGAGCATTTGTTTCTGGCTTTGCCTTTCCACTGCAACTCCAGTTGCTACAGGAGGTGACCTGCTTTAATCTTTATTTTTCCCTAGGTCAATGTCTTAACTCACTGGACGACAGGCTGTTTTTGAGTTTACAACGCATTTTGAAATCCAGTTTAGATCGATTGTGTCTTTTCTCCCTCTCTCTTCCTCTATCAACCTAAACACGCACACACTAAAAATAAGTGAGTCGCCCTTACCGGCTGTGTAGGAGCTGTGTGTCCTGCGTCGGAGGTTGTGTTCCAGCAGCTGGTGTGTCCTTGTGGGACTGGCCCCAGCCATCAGCCTCACTGTGGTCTCATGAAGAAACACCTGCAGGGAATAAAAAAAAAAACGCACGTCAGAGCCACAATGATAGTCATCATCAAGTATTTCCAGGTGTTCGTCTTAGTGATGTTAAAGCAGAAAAACATTGTTGCCACACATCATTTCACCCCACATACAGTAATACTGCTAGGGATGTATATACAAGAAATACTTTGTCTTCAGTGGAGCCTTTCATGCAGAGTGCCTCACAGCACCATGAGTGAATATTTCTCAGTCAGTGGTCTCAAAACAGAACCTCATAAAATGAGTTCATGTGGTTCCTGTAGTCTTGCACAAGTCAAAACATTACAAATGATCACCAACCACTCTGAAAGCAGACCCCCTGGCAGCAGTAATGACTACTCCAGTAAGTCTTACAAGTATGATTGATGATATGTTAAACAGCGGTGAGATTTCTGCAGCTGGGAAGAGAGTGGGAGAGAACTGATACAGTAAATTTAGTATTATGATGAACAAGATTAGTGGGACCCAGCTGATTTATGGGCTGATTATCAGTGTGGTTTTTCTAAACAGACAAACAAGACAAACATTTAGGGATATGACATGAGGGTATTATTACTTTTAGTATACAGCTTTAAAATCTGGTGAGTTGCCTGCTGGAATATTATATATCATTATAAAGTGATTATTTGTTTTCTTTGGCTTAAAGCTCGACAGTGAAAT